CTCCGGTCTTGCGAGAACAGATTACGCGTCGAGTCTCCAAAGATCCCCTCTACGTGTCCTCACTGTGGGAAAACATTGCCCGTGCATAACAAGACACGGCATCTCCGGTCTTGCGAGAACAGATTACGCGTCGAGTCTCTAAAGATCCCCTCTACGTGTCCTCACTGTGGGAAAACATTACCCGTGCATAACAAGACACGGCACCTCCGATCTTGTCAAGTTCAGCTTCATACCCCAATACTACGCATGCCTGAAGTTCATCCACGAGAACAGCTTCTTCAGTGCCTAGAAGAGAGCGCACCAGACTTTCCGCCAGACATAAAAGAGGTTCTCCATCAAATTCGTTGGTCTACTCTCGACTGTATCACCGAGGACACTCGCGACATCTGGGAGTCAGCATCAATATCAATACCTACAAATATCCCTTCTGACTCTTGTTGGGTCGGGACTCAGCCGATAACTGAAGAGCTATTCTCTTCGATTCTCAACGGTAAGTTCGATATCACTACTTAACGGCTAAACTAATAGGATTATAGAGTCGCCACAGGCCTTTCGTGGTACCGAGTTCGACCCCTTGAGTAGAGACGCAGCATTATTTCAGTTTCTCGAACCGAACGCTCAAAATCCAGCTTACTTGATGAACGCATATGTGGAACTTTCGCCAGACTGTCGAATGAACATACCTAGAATTCTTTACCCCGACTTCAAACCTTACAACACCGAAACATCTCACAGCTGCAATATCACTCCTCGCTACGTTATTGTCCACCCGCATATTGATCAGACTAGAGACTCTCTCATTACGGTTCTTGGGAAGTGCCGAAAATTAGTCGCAATGTGGCCACTCACCGATCATAATAAAGAGCTTCTTCTACAATACACCAAACAGCCAAAGCCACCAATATCCCTCTGGAAACAGTTTGAAGCCCCATTATTAGATTCAATCGACTCAACTCGGGGGCTTTTTATGCAGGCTGCCGTTATTCACGGCACTATCTGTATCGAAGGAGGTATACTTATTGGCATTAATACATTCTCTGCGCGAAGTGCTTTTAGCAGTCTACAATGTTTTCTATATGAGCTCGAGGCTCAGTTAGAACAGGATTATGTCGACATCTTCCGCCTCTTTACATTACAGCTTCACGCGCTATCTGGGCACCAAAGCATTTCTCGGGAGTTCTTGAGACACTGGGTGTTTTTAAGTGAGCGACTTAATCGTGTTCTCGGCCAGCGCGTTTCTCGGACTCCACTGACAAAGAAAGAAAAACGGGAACTCCAAGATCTATTACGCACCCTATTAGCAGTCGCTGGACAGGAAGGAGTTCTACCCAAGAGTTGCGATAACGATGGCGTATCACATTTCCGGCAGGCGCATTTATTAGTTGCAGGACTGAATGAGCGAGACATAGCGAACGTGATAACGTAAAGTTGAGTAGCTTAAGAAAGACACATCAGATGATAACTCGTCCAGTTACCGCTTGTACGAAATTAGCACATTTTAGAAGGCATTCTATACTTAGGTCTCTTCCGGATACGTATCTGTATCAATCGATAACGGCATTCGAAAGAATTAAGGAGGTATCCTAACCCTGAGCCTAGGCTACGAAAGATATCAGAAGTTCCTGAACAAATGTGTCCGTTATTAACTTTAAATCACGACGCCCAACTCCTGGTTGCACGAGTAGCTTCTTTGGCTGACCTGCCCCTGGACTTACACAAACTGCCGTGGTTGACGTCATTTAGTTCATAGTGGATATGGATAGTGTGAAGCCATCAAGTTATTCCCAGAAAGATGTATTTAGGAGAGATACGAAAGAACGAACGGATCCTTCCTAGCTGACAGTAGCAAAGTCGCGAGACTCCTCAGCGCTTCCTTGGAGAAGTACAGATCTCATAGCTTCTATATTATCTTCTATAGTGCTTGATTGCGCAAAAGTACCGCAAGACTTCTCAGTCGCGCAACGCCACTGATCCCATTGACTCCAGAGCTCCGTTGGGGGGTTTGGGATTAGTTGTAAGCAATTACAATTCCAAAGAATACCGCATGTACAAGATCTGACCTGACTGGCGATTGTCTTTGGACGGCAATCAAAAGCCTCTCTTACTTTTGGTGCTCCGTTTCTTCAAAGACCGCGCTTACAAGTGTCGATACCTCGCCAACTGGGTCGCATCATGGATTGCTTTTCGTTGGGGTTGAATTTCGGTCGGTTCACCTCGAGTCCATATTTAGAGCTCCTGTTTGACCGGTACAGGCGCTACAAGGAATGAAGTTTGCATCTGGATTGTTCTCCAACTGGTTCAAGACTTTACCATATTCAAGGCTGCAGCTGCGACATATGCATCCCAATTCACCCACAGGAACATCGTGGATGCCTTCCACGCTCATATCTTAAATCTCTCCATGGATTTTCACCGTGTTCAACCATCTAGCGAGCTTTTAGCAGCCCTCGAACCTAGTAGAGCTCTTAGTAATATTAATCAGGAGCTGGCCTCCGGCCTCATTTCCCCGCTGGTCGACCTTCTCGTCGCTACGATATACCTCTATCGGAATAACCGTGCTCGTGAAGCTGTTTCTGACCATTTCCTATTTATCGGTGGCTCATCAAGGCTCATCCTGGAATCTGAGCTATTTCGACATCGTGTCACAATGGACTGGAGAATGACAAACTTTCTACAGGAGTCGTTCCAGCACTATCAGGTAATTTCATTATTTAACCGACAAGAATCCGAGGTCAAGGTGTTGTCAGGTATATTGCACAAGTTTCTTAGGGCACAATTCCAACACCACAAAGGTTACTATTTAATTGCCAACATCCGAAGGCTATTGTTACGGCTGGGACTACTAGCAGCAGCTATCTTTGTCGCGGACGCCGTCCAGGGCGCATCATCACCGGGCCGCTTCATTGGCCTCGCTAGTTATTGGGCTTCGATATCAGATGATCTTACCAAACTGGCAAAGCGACCGATAAGGATATCAAGGAAAGACTAGTCTCGATCGAGAAACTCATCCAGATTTTCTACAAGCAGCCGACTATCGTGAACGGAAGCAAGCAGTTGGAGATACAGGCCGAAGACATTTCATTTGACCGAGTCTCGTTCTCGTACGATAGTGAGCATAGAGCAATTCGCAATGTCACCTTTAGAGTCCCAGGTGGATCGAGCGTTGCCATAGTTGGAGAAAGTGGTAGTGGTAAATCCACTCTCGTCAGTCTCTTCGCACAGACGATGTGCAAGAAGGTGTCATTCAGATCGATAATCAGGACATTCGAGACGTCACCCTCTCCAGCTTGAGGGAGCAGATCACCATCACTCCTCAACATATCGAGGTGTTCGACCGGTCGGTCATGGAAAACGTCCAATTCGGGAGACTTGAAGCATCAAATGAGGAGGTCATCGAAGTATGCAAAGCAGTAGGACTGCACGACGCCATTATGAAATTTCCAGCGAAATACGAGACAGGGGTTGGTGAACGGGCACCACACTCAGCGGCGGGCAGTGCTAACGGATAGGAATCGCTCGAGTCATGCTGAAAAAGCCAAAGCTTATAGTCCTTGACGAGCCAACGTCAGCTGTCAACTCTCGCAAAGAGAATCGCATCCTGAAGGCTCTCCACGATCTATGTCGCGGCCACACTACGCTTATGATTACCCACCGGCTCTCAACAGTCAAGGACACTGACCTCATCCTTGTGTTACATGATGGTTCTATCGTAGAAAGAGGCAGCCACGCGGAGCTATTGGAACAAACGAGGGAGGTATTCTGAACTCTGGCCCTTGCAAACGTCTCCAGAAGCCAACTGAAATTCTCACGTCTCAGAAGGTATTCTATAGCAACCATTTATGGACTGAAATCGGCGCCGTGAGACCTTGTCGCGGTCTTTTGCTCTCTGATCTCCTTCTGGCCCTTCGTTGACTGGGAACCTGATCGGCAAGGTAGCCCAGAGTGCCTTCTTTATGAAGAAACTATCGTCGTCTCCATCACCAATTTCTCTGGGCTAGTCTAGAATTTGGGATTGAGGAACTGGCCTTTAAGTCCTCCTCATCACCAAGGTATACCACCAAACAACCTTCCCTTTCCCAGGATTCTGCTAGGACGCCGTACAATTGAGAGGCCAGTATCTGATGATGCTGGCAGTAGACGGGGCATTCAACGTTCATTTAGTTCAAGTACGAAGAAGGCTCAGAGTGTGGGGTTTGCCGTCATTATAAATGCCTGGACATTGCAAAAGCTAAAGAAGAATGAAAAACAATACCACCCCTTCAACGCCATCAAGCTGCTCCACCCTTTCTCAAGTCGATAAATCCGTAACAATAAGTTCATGTCTTTGGGGAGTACGTGATCCTATTGATCATTGATTGCATTGCCATGTCTTTCCTTAATTGCATAAAAACACCAGTGCCGGCCCAGTGACAGCTTCACATGCAGTTCCTGCAGGACAACAGATCGACGCGTCCACATTGCCGGGCAAGTCAAGACAAACATTGTCTCGAAAAAAGTTCGGTGTGTTTATAGCACAGCTAACCGCGGTAATTTGAGAGGGGATGACTTCCGTAGTCGTAGTTGTTGAAGGTACAGGAATGGTCGCGAAGAGCGTGGTCAACGCCACTGTATCAGATATGACCACCACAGGAGGGACCGATTGTTGTGGTAGGGCAACAGCCCTTTCAAGGAGGCAAAAAGAAAGGAGTTCAAAGAGATACATTGCAATCGAGGTTCGTTGATTTGGAAGATTGTGGAATGGAGGACTGTCTCGATCTGCCGGAAGTGCAACGTTCTTATAACCGGCGGGATACCTTCTCACGAGTCAAAGTTCATAATCTTCAGCCCCCAAGAATGATGGCCAACTTCTCGTTAGCGAGGTCAGTTGCAGAACATCGCATCTCAATCGTGCCTCCTTTATATTGCCTACATAGTATAGCAACTTTCTTCTCGCTATCATTCTCCGTATTTAGTATAGCCTAAGTACTATTATACGGCTACTTAAAAAGGCCCCGAATTTAGGCCACCTAAACCATCCTATTTGCCCGCCAATTACGGACAGGATTAGGTATAGATCATACGAGAAGACCCGCCAGACTTTACCCAAGCTAGCTAAACGGTTAACATTAGCTCTGGCGTTCCTTGAATCGTGGGGCTAAAAATCGGGGCTTCGACCATAGGTAGTAAATTGCAGCATAACAAGGCCTCTCCTTCTAGCCTAGGAAAGCTATGTCGATGAATCGGGAAGCTCTATTTTTACCTCGATCATATGATCATAACTACAAGCCGGTAGACTAATCGGGAATAGATAACATTATTGCCCTAATCGACGTCGGCCCCTTCGGTAACATTGCGCTGCGCCCCGGCTTACAGTTACGCAATCTTTTCAAAGTTGGAGAGGTCCCTTTTTTGGTCCAGGGAGCAATCGCAGTCGGATAAAGAGTTCCCAGTTTTAGTTCCCATGGAAAGTACCACCTCCAATGTTCCTTTGGTATAATACTGCTGAATTCTGTAAGCGGGAACTACATGAGGGGATCGGAAATTCGGCACAGTCTTTCACTATGGCAGATTCAAAAGCCTACAACCTCCAGTGTACTATCAACCGCAAGCTTTGCCAAGACAAAAGCTCCCTCCGAAAGCTTACGGCTCACCATAAACTGAATGCCCAACTTCAGCGACTAGGGGTATCTACTGACGAAGTGCCACCAAGAGACATAGAAGCGTTCCATCAAACCTATAATAATAGAGGTATGGAGCACCCAGGGCTCTGTAATATAATGAACGCGCATAGACTTGCTGAGAGATTGTTCACTTTGACATTGGCGGATACATCGCCACGCTTCATAGGTCATTTGGAGATCCCTCACTTGCAACCGCAGGGCGAGGCCATAGGGGAAAGTCGGATCAATAGATGAATGGGGGCTCTGGGCACCGCCAGAAGGCACTCTCGTTGGACAGATTAGCGTCGTTGGAGACGGGATAGCACTTCCGCTATAAATAACAAAAACACGGCTGAATTGGGTATCTTCGAAGCCTGTATTAATAGAGTCCATCCAAACGGCTAATCCAATTTTCCGATTCTTCGACTTCTCATCTCTAGTGGGAGATCTGTGCTCCATCTGTGATATTCCATTGTCCTCTACCTGACCATTTTTGCATGACCATGACCATGCCGACAGAGCCCGGCAACCTCCACATATACATTACAGTCTTTAGCGCAGAGGCATCAGAGTGATTCAACAGTATGTATCCGCCATTCAAGAAGAGTCCAACAGCAACGTCCGCACGGGAGGGAAGTATATGGCACCTAGGGTCTTATCGGTGCCGTGGGCCTCTAAAAGCGCAAATACAGGAAAGTGGCCGTGGTGTACCACGTGAAATGGAAAGGTTTCCCCAGCAGCGACATGACTTGGGAGCCAGAGAATCACCTCTCCCGGGGTGACTTGGAGCTTCTATGATCGGAAAATGGACGAGGCAACACTGCCGCGGGAACTTCCTAGTTTAACAGGCACAATGACCTGCTGCGACCTTGAAGATGACGATATCTTCGAGACCCGGGGGAAAAGCATAAGTCAACGAGAACGGAATGACCAGCAGGTGAAATCTGTTGAAGACAGCCGCCGTCATCAGCCTTAACCACCCGTTCGTGGCCGAATGGCAAGGAAGAACCCGCCAACAAATGCGAAACCCTTCAAACCTGATGAGCCAGACCAGACCTTCTTCAGAAGATGTATCAAAGGAATGGCTCCAACTTGCAAGAAACGAATTCGACATTACCTACGCCCGCTTACAGTTCAACTGAGAATTACTATAAGCCCTGGATAGATATTCGCGAGGCATTTCAATATCCTAGGTTACCTAAATGCCTCGTAATATCATATAGTCTATCACGGCACTTTCAATTTGTTCTCCTCTCTTCTCATCGAACTAGATATACCCTAACGAGACTTTCTAAGAGAATGCTCCTTGTCGTCCGGCCAAACTATCCTGAGCCTCGCAACTAGGCCCTGAGGCTATCATGAAGATACGAAAAGCTCGAAGCCACCGTGGTGCGAATCTGTGGGAGCGATAAATTGGGTCATTCGAAGTTGTCCGGGGAAAATCGAAGATCTGCGTACCAATTAAATGCAGGCTTACACCGCTTGTTCCGAGGACAGGGTCATGGCAGCAACGTGATGGGCCCCAACACCGATCGACAGACAGACAGGTCTCCGTTCCAGCCACGGGAGGAAGTTGCTAGTTTTGGGCGATATGAAGCATAACGCCTAGAGTAGACGGGCTCGGCATACAGGACATCGACATTTTGCCCTTCCCCAATATCTTTTGCCGTAGTAGACCGTGATCTCTTCCCCGTCAAAGATATTTCGGGCAGCAACGATTGCAATCCTAAACTTCCCCGATACCCTCATCCCTCTGAAGCGGGCCGATGGATCACAGCTGCTATTAGCCAACCTGTAGACACTGCCGCACTTAGCACAGTTTATCTGGGCGACTGTAGGCTCGCCAAGAATATCGCTCCGGTCCACTTGTATACATCGACCGTTGGCGTACATATCGGGAGGCGATAATTCGCCGGTGATGAAGTCGATAATATCGCCCTCCGAATACACGATTTGGCCCGCTTCCCACGCGACGGCTTGCAAGCCTCGGTTCTTGTCCTGATATTTACGGGTATAGTCCCGGATGCGAGGCTGTGTCTTGTGACGGATGGCAGCGCACTGGCAATCTCCCCTGTGGCACAATTCGCACGGGCAATTACTCCGATGACACACCTTGCACTCAACCCCACCAGAAGGAGGCAGAGACGTTGGATCAACCGGCCACGGCGAATCGTCGGGCCATTCGTCTGGTCTGGGCCAATCTGGGTACGCATTAGGATCATAGACGTTTTCGTGCTTTGCTGGGAAGAGCTCTAGAGTAGAGAGCAACTTTGCCTTCGAAATTCTATCCAGAGATACATTCTGACTCTCCCAGATGAAATCAACATCGTCTGCTGTTGGGTCTAATGAATGTTCGAATGCTCTCCCCGCGACGCAGAGAGCAGACGTGTGCTCGTCGTCTAGACGAGAACATAGGAAGGCAAATATTCTTTCGTTGAGGTCAAGCCAGGAGCTTGAAGAAAAGCCAGATCGTCGATTTCCAACGGGGATGAAGCAAAGGATACCGGGAAAGGCCTTGTGATATTTCCGCCACTTCTCGCCCTTCTCTCGGTGGTATAAGTACTGGCGATTCGACATCCCCGTACGCCGAAGGATGTCCGCAATGACGGCTGTCTCACTCCTCAGACGGTCACCCTTGAGCTTGTCGACATGATCGGCAAGACGGACTTGAAATAACCGAGTAAGAAAGCCATGAAAGGCTGTCTTGCAAGAGAGCATGCTGATGACATTCATATCGTTCTCGACCATTCGGGTAGGATCTTCGCTTTGGATTTGTCTTTTGGAAGGACTTGTGATGGAATTCATTCTGAATCCTGGTTCGGTGTCTCGACGACCCTGGACGATATCGAAGAACTGCTTGATTGCATCTCTACTCTGAATAGCCGCCACCATCCGTGAGACAAGATCGGTGACATCCTTGGTTTCATTCATGATCGTGTCGGCTGGACTGGGTGTGGTCCGAACCTTGGCCTTTTTTCTGGACTGCTGCGCGGTCTGCACGTCTCCGTGCCTCTTTCGGGGTCCCTTTCCTTGCTTGTCGATCCCAAATTCTGTCCTCGCCGTCTCACCGCTCCGGGTCGGAGCTGGTCGACGGTTTCTAGCTAGCTGCTTGTGTCCTTGGGACTGGACCGAGCTATAAGATCCCGTGGAGACCGCGTCATCTTGTTCGCGCTGTAGTTCATTTGGGCTACGGAACTCCAAGATCGCGTTCGAAATGGGGGGTCCGGGACAAGTGCGGCTGCAATCGGAGTAGCCCTTGATACTCCACTCGGGGCCGCCATAGTTCACGGCTTCGGCGGTGGTCGGACCAACGGTGCCTCCTTGGTGGTAGATATCTCCCCACACCAGGACGACCTCGCCCGGACGTTGAACGAATGTGACAAAGGAAGCCCCCATGGCCTTGAGCTTCGACCGCGGGATCCAGCGAGAGGCGTGTCGTACTCTCTGCGCGCATTTCCCACCTTTCACTGCATTCTCGACGAGGTAGCCATCTTTCTGAGCCACGGCACACCAGGATTTTTCTTTTCCACTGTATAGGGCATTTAACGATATTAAGTTTGCGTCCTCACGATGTATGGTGAAGACAGACCCGTCCTCGCCTGACAAATATCCATACGGCCGATGGAGCCCGTCAACGATATACTTTGTGTGATCCAATAGGTTATCCTTCAAGGGCCAGATTAGGGACTCCGCAGGTAAGCCCAGCCGTCGTCGATCTTCGGCCGTCCAGGCTGGAGTATCCGTACAGTAGCGCATCTTGCTCACGGCTTCCGGGTCGGCAAGACGACGCTCCAACATCTCGGCCAATTCATCTGGCTCTGTGGGTATAGTTCTGGTATGGCTAATGTCCAGCGTCTCCAGTTTCTCTTGCCGCGAAATACAAAAAATGCCGTCCTGACCGAGACCAGACGTAAAGCTGGAGACACATGTCGTAACGCTGTGGGCAGCCTCTGCGCTGAAATCAAAATCACCTGGCAGTACGTACTTGAATATTCCCGTTTGCCGCGCACCAAGCATCTCAGCCTGCGAGAGAAGAAAGCGGGTGTCGCGACACTGATCCATGTCCAATGGCATCAGAACGACAATGCCGTGCTCCTCTCGATAAGGGACGATGGTGCCAGGATTCCGAGGAATTTCAGATACGCTGTATGTTGAAGCATCGGATGGAGGCATGGTCGACGAGACAGGTTCGCGCAAACGGCGTGGCATAGTTACGTCTACTGTAGTATTTTCTTCGACTTCTGGGGCTTCGACAGTGGTATGAACAGTAGTTGGAACAGTGGTTGGTGCTGCGGTGTCTGCAGAGGGTTCCCCAAGTTGCTGTCTCTCATGCGGTGGAGTCAAGATCTGTAATGCAGCTTCCGGAGGCATGTTTCGGTTATGGGCTCCTGTGTTTCGATCGTGACCCGTATTGACATCTGATCCTTCGACAACTGCTTTGACATACTTGATATCCTTCACTAGCGCTTCAATCATGGGCCGGATCGTATTCCAGGGCGACTGGCTTTGCTTGCGCGATTTGGCGGACGGGTGCCTGGGCCGGGGCAGATGCTTGTCCACTACAATCACGAGCTTTTGGAGCATCTCTTCCATGCATCGAATTCTCTCCTCGACATTTGACATGGCCGAAGGATGACGATCCGAAACTTGCGTGATGTTGAGAGCGGATTGTTCAAGATTCGCCCGTCTCTGTGGGTTGCGGGTAGAAAGGTTGATGTGCACGGGAACGGTTGGATGTGGCGATTGGCAAAACATAAGTAGACTAGAACTGCACGGGCCACAACTCCCTCAACGGAGTTGTGGCCCGTGCACGCGATGGGGCGAAGGAACTAATACAGAACAGTCTTGGCGTGTCACTCACGTGCTAATCGCGTCGTCCCTTCCTCACCCCTGAAGTGAATTTCGTCTTGCTTGCACATGCCTCGAAACGTCAGAATTACCCTCGATCATCAAACCAGACCCACCTGTAGATCGTGAGGCGGTGACATATCGCCAAAAGTAATTCAAAGCGGAGGACACGCATGGACTGATGTCTATCTACGTGGATTCAACCCCAACCCTATGATAGCCAATCAAAAGTTCCCGACAAAATTTGTCGGGGACCTCTAATTGGCTGGGCTTGTTTAACACGTAAAAGATGACAGCCATACCAATTCTTCGGCCTTTTCTTGGACACCGCCTCATGACTCTCTATGGGTTAACCTGGAATTGGGTATGTTGCTATGGCTTTCCAGAGACCACGCGGCGAATCGAGTTCGTCGACCCCACCATTTCGCCGTCCATCCTTCCATTCGCGAGGCGGACGTTCGGAGCCTACTGAACCTACCGCAAGGCTCAATCTACGTCGGCCCCGCTTACAGTACACGCCGCCTTTTTGTTGCACATTGTCCGTAGGCCCATTCCCTTTTCCTCTTCCGGTGGTTCGCCGTTCCCAAGTGAGCGGCAAGGTCTTGTGCCAGTATTAGCTTCTGTAGTGAGTATGGCGAGCCGCTAATGTTACACGGCTCCGAACGGCCTTGTTTGAGGCGTACGGTGAATTTATCCGAGACGCTCAGCTCCACACGCTTTCGAAAGTTTCCGTCCGCGTCGAGGAAGGAGCTGTCGCCAAAGTTTCCTGTAACTGGGTGCTCGTCCAGGAAAAATGTGGCAGAGCAACATGACAACCGGTGAAGTAAGAGAGAAAATGCTCCGCCCCGACGGCGCTCCGAGCATTGGATGTAACCGACCGCTACAAACTTACCGTTAATTTTCTCTGGTATAGATTCTAATTCGAAGTAAAACAGGGAGGCAAGCATGTGGCGGGCGATACTATCAATCGTTCTGGATAGTGAGTCGTCGACCTGAACTTTTGACCTCAGCTCGGACATGGTCTTTGTATCATCTAACCTCGGTTCTGCTCGGTCGAATTCAACGTCGAGACGGTGATATCGGGGATTAGTTTGGAAAGCCTGTCTGACTTTCTTGTCGCGCATCTTCTCCCAGAATAAACGATACAGTCTCGGTAATGCTTTATTCTTCCACGGATGGGCTGTAAGTGTAGTAGACGCCGTGTCACTCTTCGGCTGGCCAGTGCCCAGAGAAATAACAAAGTCTGGTTCTTCAGTTAACGGGAACGCTGAAGTGAATTCGGACAGAGCGGAAATGAGTGGATCGTTCTCCAGAGGACCCGCATCCTGAAACGTGCCAACTTCATCGATGTGCTTCGGCGGGAAAAAGCTGTGAGATAGTTAGCAACTCCACGGAGAAGGGTTAGGTAGCATACCCAGGCGCCGCTGAGGCTGATCGTGCTCTATTCAAGTGTCAGTGGTGCCCATAGGCAGGTTAATGAAGACTTACATCTCCCAAACGGGCACTCTTCCGAGACCGTCTTTCGGTTTGATGACTTGGTCTGTGGCCTCGTCAGCTACTTCAGCAGGCGAGCGCTCCACGGGCTCACCTAGGTGTCGATCCTGTGTTCCAACACCATTGTAATTGGTGAATATACGACACGACGGCCTGTCGTGAACCGTAGCGACAGGCAAACCGATCCTCGTCCCTATTGATGTTGCGTATGAATAGTCGAGAATGCTCCCCTCCGTACCAAATACCTCTTTCAAGGCGCCTTCAATATTTTCGGCCGCATAAAGGCCGTCGGCCAAATACGACCCTATAAGCTCCCGAAGACGAGAAAGAAGGGGGATACCTAAACCTTTCCGGCGCTTAAAAGTGTGCTTTGCTAATTGTTCAAACACGTCCAATGACCGTTCAATTGACCACCCCTTGTGGAACATAGCCAGGATAATCAAACCCCCTTAAATCGTTAGTATCGAACTCCCTAAAGCGGTGGAGAAACTAACCTGAACTCACCCCGAAAGCGAGCTTGAAGAACTTTTGAAAGGGAATCGGCAAATCAATACGATCCCGTATTCGTTTCATGATCTCCAGCGGTATCACGGCGCGTATCCCACCTCCGTCAATACACAGGACTCCCGCTCCGGCTGTAGGAGGATGCACTTTGACGACCATCTCTCTGGGCAGCAAGACACTACACAGGGAGCATCGACGCACCTTGAAGTCCCAGGGATCATCCGAGCTCTGATCGCCAAAATTCATCACACAAGTCTGACAGACGCAGTGGCCACAGTGCTGGTTGTATTGAGGTCTGCGGCGTAAACAAGAGAAACAGGTACTGTCGCTTCGAATACTTAGCCAGCGGTCCTGGAATCGCTCAAGGTTCTCTCTGTGAATTTCTGCCGAGGCTTTGCCCCCTCGCTGAACGGATTGCCCGAAATATTCGACAAGTTGATCCTCGACCAAATTAATAAAGCCACTCATGAGGATCACGTCGCTCGATTCATCGAAGGTCAGTACGCGAGACTTGCTCAACCTGCGTAGGATATCCCTATACAAGACCTGAAAAACGCTTCGTGGATCGAACACTGTACGACTGTTAGAAAATACACCACTCTCGGATAGGGCAGGAAGTGGGCTTACTGTGGGCGTCGGGAGGATAACTGTCTAGAAGGAAGCTAGAGGCGATAATCGGAACTGCGAACTCCGTTAGCTCGATAGGCGTTCTGACGTGCTTAAGAAACGTTAGTAGATGTTCCCCCAGGTCCGGGGCAACTGGGTTGTACGTCCTCGACGCCTTGATAAAACTGAACGGTTGCTCAATCGTTTTGGCGAGGTGTGCACGTGCATACTCGAACAGAGCGCCGAAATGAGTTGCAGAGAACAGGTGGCGTGTCTCATCTCTCGTCGTTCGGGTGTGATCCAATGCATCGAGAAGTCGCTCTTTCAGTCGTCGATGTCGACCTTCGACGGACATCGAACCAGCAGGGAAAAGCGCTACCACACTGATGTCCGAAAACTGTTCGTGTGGGTCTTCGGTCGTCTCCTCGTAGAGCATCCATAAAAATGCCCTTTTAGCCTCGTTTTCGCTTGCAGTTCCAGGAGGTATTTTATCACTGATGATAAGCACCCTCGGGTGCGTAGATCTGGGAAGGGTCGATGAGGTACCTTTCTCTAGCCATGCCGCTAACTGGATGGCAATCTGTCGAAAACCGCCTAGATCAGTGGAGAAGAAGCAGAAAACGTCAGTGAAGGGGAACAGCAGACGCGCGTAGATCCTGGAGGCGAGATCGCTCGGCGGCACGCCTGGTACATCAGTAATCCATTCAATAGCATGGCTCATTGTCTCATGGCACTTCTCTCTTGGGATTGACTTTATCTTCAAAGGTTGACTAGGTAAACCGAGGTCCGCCAGGAAGATTGGTTTACCGGGGAAAATTGTGGAAGGGTCGAGATGAAGGTGGACTCCATCGGCACTCTGCTTGCTTCTCAACCCAGAAGCCCGCTTCACACCAAAAAGTTCCCGAAGGGCGACTGATTTTGCTACATTCCCGATTAGCACAAGTAAGCTAGGCTTCTGGATATCGGGATATTGGATATATTTCGTAAGAGTGCGAAGCCTATCCGTCGCTAAAAGGGCGACTTCACTACCCTGACTGTAAAGTCCGAGCCAATGGCTATGGTCACAGCGCTTCATGATGAGGATGCGGATTGAAGAAATGTAACAGTAGTGCAAAGTCCTCTAGAGGAATGACATATATATTCTCTTGGGCTCACAGCGGCGAAATCGGAATCCAGACGAAAAATGGGACCCTCCTAGATTACACCCAGATTCTGGTCTTGGTCCAGGAAACGGGAAATAGGGCCACTCTCAGACAGTCTCTGGAATTGGGCTCCTTGGACCAAACGGGGGTCCCAACCGGTTATCCTCCCAGTCTAGCGCAAACGCCATAATTACCATGGCTTCTAGCAAATCTAAATTGACTGGTGGTGAAGAACACCTTACGGTCTCGAGCGCAAGGTACCATTAGGAAAGGACATTAGAGCTATCATGTCAAACTCTATTTTACTACCTCAGTGGGTGCAGAGCATGAGCATTTGGAAAACGGACAAGTCAGCAAGTCCTCGAACTTCTCCAGATCGAATCTACACCCGCCTCATCCAAGGAGGTCAAATACACCTGTGCGCCCTTTGTAGCAAACCTCGATCTCGAAAATACCAAAGACAACACCCTTTGCTACCGGGCCAAATCCCGGAACCTGGGATATGTTCCAGACCAGAATGTACACGAGCGCACAGCAAGCGATGGGAGCATTGTCATCCTCAACTTTTAGTCGAGGTCCACCACTACTATCACCGCGGCGACGGTTTCGAGGCGGGCGCCCATCCAACCGACACTCCCGAACTGCCCGGAGAAAGTTCCTTAAGAGGCCGAGCTGAGGTGGCTGGCGACTCTCTCCACGCATGTTTTCAACCGAGGCGCGCACAGGGCCGGCTGGTCCCAATGAGAGAGGAGTCACCCCCTCCTGTGAACAGGCATACTAAACCTACCTTGCATTATTACTAACTTGCGCGATAGATAGATGAAGGTGAGCGAACAGAAATCGAGAAAAATGAGTGTAAACAAACAGTCTATCCTTGTTTGAGTGGTCCTATCTATACAGATCATCATCTCCGCCTCACCCCCGAAATCAAAAGCAGGGACTTGCACAATAAGTAAATCATTGGAAATGCATGCCGAGTTCTGTCGGGACCACCATTATCTTTTCCAGCATTTCCTGTTTCTTAAAATACTCAAATCAAACGACGGCGGGTCTGGAATAGTACGTGCTTGCCTTCGAGTCAATCTTTGTACGGTTTCATCCGACGCTGGCTTGTTAGCCTTCGATTCTTTGTTGGTGCGTGGTAGTGAAACCACCGATTTTTTCTCAGCTGCACCGCTAGAACCGAGGCGCTGCTTCCGAATAAAGTGTTCTATATCTGATGGGCCTTCGTGTTCGGACTTGGGATGAGAGAGCTTCTCATAGGTTAGAAATATACATGTGTATATATCTCGAGCGTTTAGCTTACAATGTCTGAACTCAGCCACGACAACACTTCTTCATTCGATGTGTAGCAATAGAGGGTCCCTTTGACTCGATTGCGGACAAGGAACGCAAGCTCGATGTCCTCCAGTTCGCCGTATTCATATATTTTCTTCTTGAGCCCTCCTAGCCGTCGTCTGAGCTTTTTATTGTGAAGTTTAATCGACAGTCTGGCCATCACTGCAGCCTTGGAATGCGAAGGACATCTACAGCAGTGGGAAATAGAGGTAGCGGATTTATATCGACTGCATATGGGTAAGAAGGGTCCCCATTTCGGGAACCCCCCTTTTCATTATTGGCCAAATCGAACAACATTATATAATAAGGATTCTGCACCACTTTTCTTCGTCAATATCTGGCTTTCACCACCCCACACTATCACCATGGATGTTACACAGTGGTACGCAACTGCCCTCGGTGGGCTCGTTGTTCTTTATGTCATCAGCTTTTCACTCCTGACAGTCTTCAAGAAAATTGGCCCCGGAGCGAAATTTCAGTTCAAGAAAATCGGTACCCATGTGAAACGTCAATTTCTCAAGCACGTGTACTATCCTCAAATTCCCAAGGCTTTGAGGGGCTCGGAGAAAACGACTCGGTTTGACCTCCTGTTAACGATCATCTTTTTGATCGGGATAGTTTGCTCTACGACGATTCGGGTCGAAGATACCGCCGGGCTGAGAAGACGCTCCGGAGTGATTTCTATAATTAACCTCATCCCCCTATTCGGAGGGGCTCATATGAACTTCCTGACTAACGCCTGTGGGATTAGACTCGATGTTTATCGCCGCATTCACCGATGGCTGGGAAGGGTAGCCGTAGTTGAAGGTCTTGTTCATGTCATTGCGGGGGTATCTTTGCAGAAGCCCGATTTACATGTGCTCTCGGACATCGCAGGGCTGACAGTGAGTTTGCGTTCTGATCCCTGGGAAGAAGGGGGGCGATGAGCTGACAGAGATCTGCAGGCTACAGCCACTATGGTGACACTGGTCCTTAGTTCCCTGTCAAGCGTCCGCGACCGTTTCTACGAAATCTTCCTCAAACTCCATCTGATACTTGCTACTACATTGATCGCCACATTATTCATCCACAGCAAATCCAAAAGACTAACAGCAACGCCGACCCTGTATTTGCTCTCCGCGATCTGTCTTCAAATTTTGATCGGTGGACTGCGATTTGGAGAAGTCCTGTATCGAAACGTCAAGTACAGAACGCCGGTCGGGCGAGCCGTGATACGATCGGTCATTTTCAAGAGGGACTCTTCCAGGGACATACCAGTTTCCGACGTTGTCCACGTGCACATCAGACCATCAAGACCGTGGCGGTACCGCGCCGGTCAGTACGTGTATCTCTGTATTCCCGGGTTGACTTACACCTCTTTTGCACAGTCGCACCCATTTTACGTTGCCTGGTGGTACCAACACCAAGGAAATGATTACGTCGTTCTCATCGTCCAGAGAAGGAGAGGTCTTACAAACGACCTACGCATGCACGCCAGCGCCAGTGACGACCCTAGCCAGCACTCTGAGAGGAGAGTATTAATTGAGGGACCATACGGAAGAGAACTGAACCTCGAATCATATGAAACGGTCATGTTGATCGCCACAGACATCGGCATCGCCGGCCAGATCGCTCATGTCACACAGCTTCTAGAAGGGTATCGAAGCGGTGGGATCAAGACTCAAAGGATACGTCTTTTCTGGGAAATCGATTCCGAGCGTAAGCCTCATGAATCTTGTCCCATGATGTTGAACGTTTCGACTGATTACTCCAGTACATGCCGCCTGGGTGGCTGATATGATGAAGGACTTATTGAATGAGGATAGGGATCGAGTACGACAGAGCACAGTCACCATCATCACCAGGTACTAACTGGTGATCTTAGATTCTCGATATTAAGCTGTTCGTCGTGGGATTCTTCCTCTCCGTCCACACTAACCGAGGCGACACGGCCCAGCTTGGAAAGCGCATCAATATCGTGTATCAAGCCATGGACGCCGAAAATCTGATCAACTCAGAGGTCGAAAATCGGCATCCTGGTCGTATAGTGGTTTCCTGTAAGTGACGGCCGCATCTTCTTCTCGAGTCACCAACTAACAAAGAAACAATAGTGTGCACCAATGACGAGATGAGTGACAAGGTTCGAGGGATTGTGCGGAGTAAATTGGATACGAACATTCATCTGGAAGAGCTTGAATTTCGTCCTGCGTCGTCTAGAGGTAGAAGGAGGGGGTGGAGGGAGATGTTCGCGGTCGGCAGCAAGGCACGCGCCGCCCAGGTGTGAAGCGCCACGGCAGACGTGGTCCAGTAGAACAGTAGTTTGGGATTTTCGCAACTAATGCACGTCGCTGAACAGGGAAGGAGTGCCCAGCAGCCGCCGGGCGAGCCAGTTAGAACGAATGGTACCCTCGTCTATTTGTCTTCCCGCCTTGGCATTGCTACTCACACACACAAGCATGCACACCTTTCCCGCCCGTGATTGCGTCCTTTTGTGCTTGATAATGCGAGTCATCCGGGCTGTGCATCGAACCAGTCACACCACTCCAGTCACACCACACACGTCGCCAACTCGACGCGGTGGACTAAAGCGACAAAGATCTGCGTCTCCACAGAGTCCAAGCCCTCTGCCCCAAGAATGGGTCTAAGTAGTTCAACGTCGGGTGCTTCCTATCACATGTCAGAGACATGTCGGTTGTTTCTAAAAGGAGCGGGGGCGAGAGGCGAAGAACAGGAATGAGCGGAAGGACAACGAAAGTGAAGTGGGTGCGACGGCTGGTGAATTTTCCGCTAGCTAGAAGATGGGGCAGGGCCTTCACGCGAAAGATCCGTGATGAGATGGCTAGCTACGTACTGGGTACATTGAGCGTTATATTGACGAAAGTCAACCAGTCCAGCCTCGACGTTTTATCCCTGCGCCATCATTCTCAATATCCTCATGACATTGTTGGAAGTTTGTTAAGGCTTTTTGAAGAGCTTCAACCGCGAGCTTAACCTCTTCCAAAAGGTATACGCTTGCCCCATGCTTTCTTTTTTGATAGACGAGCTCTCTTCTGAGCTGCTCATTTTCCCAAGTTCGCTGCTCTATCATCTGAGAGAGGTTAGAGGTCGGGATTTTACTAGCCGCCTGCCGTATTTCCGAAGCCTCCTCGATGTTTACTGGATCATCGGCTGCAGGAGGGTTTGGTAGGGGTTCACTGATGTTGCCAGGCAGCAGGCGGAACTTTGTTCGTTTATGTCGAAGCATATCGTAGAAGCTTCGATCAAGGACGATTCAAACCGCCAACAGAAGGGTTTTTTATAGTAACGCTAAGGATAGGCCGCTTGTCGATAGTCGGGCTCAATGCGCCTGTCTGGAACTTGCTAGCGAGCACGCCCATCGAGGAAGGAAAGGTTTGGGCGTTTATCTTACTCTGTGGGTCCCACCTCGGGCCCTCGCTCCGGTCACCACAATATGGTGACCCTTTTTTCAACCCATCCCCGGGCGAACTTGGCCGGGGCCGGTTTGTGGGCACCACTGCAACTTCGATGTGGGAACTCAGACTAGGATGTTTAATGCACTCGTTTGGGTGGACAATGGAAGGAGTTGATGAAGCATGGTAACGCAAGAGGGTGCCAAGGATAAACCTGGCAATCACGTAGTCTACACTTGCTTCCACGGTAAACGGGCAATGCTCTCCTAAGGTCAAGTACTCGAGAGATATTCCTCTTCTGGGCTTAGGGCAACAGGTTGTCAGTTCACTCCAGAGTGCTCTACGGTTGGATCATGCTCCTCAAAGGAATGCTGGATCTAGATTATCCGGCAAAGTATTGATTTTAAATTGGAACAACATTCGACTGTGACAATCAAACCTGCGCCGACTTGCCCAACCTAGGTACATAAATATCCAGTTAAACCGTCAGATCTCGCTCCAGGCCTCAGTTTCCTATTTCGAGGCGGTCCTCGGGGCAGTCTTCCGCTTTCGGGATCGGGTTGCCCGTCCCGTCGGTTTGGAGGGCGCCGCGTTATCGCGACCGTTGTTCATATTGGGTTCAACAGCTAATGGCTGAACCTGGTCGGGAGACCCCTCATGCAGCTTCTGAAGCTCATCGGCCCTCTGCGTGACCTCACGGATGTGGTCCGCGGCATTAGCCAATGCAATGTGGTGGTCCTGTACCATCGCGGATTTCTCTTTCTCAAGGTCTGCAATCCTTGCCTCGAGTCGCTCCTTTTCCAAGGCCCATTCTAACCGATCCAAGTCTGACTCGCCAATGACGGGATTGTTAGCTTTGACGGACTGCTCCTGGACGGCTGCCTGAAGGGTTTGCATGGTTTGTTGAGCGGTTTCAAGTTGTTTGTGGAGTGACCGATTATTTTTGTACATGCTGTTGAGCTCGTTGACCGCCCCGTTGTATTGGCCATGGAGGTCTTCGTACGCTCGGGCACACTCGAACCGCATCTTACGTTCCTGATGATAGGCATGTTCGTATGCCTTGTGTGTTTTGGCGTAGTCAGAGAAACCTGAAATAGTACTGCGAGCGGCCCCCAACATGGTAGAGATGTTGCAAAGCATTTGATCGACCTCAATAAGTTGTTGATTGGCGGGAAGGTGGTCGGTCCATGTACTGTTGTGGGGAGGTGGCGCTTCCTTACTTTTGTCGATAGGATTTGACTAACTAGGTTAGACGGCTTTACGCCATTTGCACCAGAAGGAGCCTCACCGGCGTCGGATTGAGCTGTTGAGCAGCCATCATTGAGGGGATATTCAGTGTCAATTGCTTTCCTCTCATGAGTGACTTTCTTGTCTTGGATCGATGGGGGGTCCTTGCAGCAGCAGAGGGAGATCAGCGAACCTATATAGACCTGTTGAGTCCTAGACCTTGCTCCCCAAAGATATTCACACGATACGATGAGCTCTGGGGCCCAAAATTAAAGGACCTCTCTTGGGGCGACGACAGCAGATATCAAGGCTTAAACCCGTAATTTTCTTACAAGTTGGCGGCCGTCCATCAATGGCCAATCAAACTTCCTTCCCAGTGGGGCCGGGAACTAAGCTGCTCTATCTGACGCCGCACCTTATACCATCTTGAGTTACCACGGCAAGAAGATCTTGTGTTGTTCAACTTCTGGGACCCTTTGAGGTTCCCAAAAATCGACTCTTGACGGGCATTTAGGCCCTTCAATGTTCCTTTAATTAGCATATGTATGACAAAATTAGGACGCACTAGGATGGTTCATGAAGAGGGCCCTCTTCCCCAGGTCGTTCCGTCAAGGCGCTTGCAAAGCAATAATCTGTACCTCACTATCAAGGGACAGGTCTAAGCCACCCGCGCAGCTGGTTGCTATAGTTATTCTCCTTGCGTACTTATGGGGTTTTAGTGTATGTTTAAAAGGTTGCGATCGGACTTAAACAAGACGCAGGAGCCATGCAACGTGATGACCATGTCACACCAGGATATCCCCCAAATAGATCAGTTTGACATCAACGAGGAGTTTCTGAAAGAACTAGATCAGGACTTTTCCTATTTTGATCCCTGTCTGCCTGATTTTATATCCGATAATCTCGAGCAGCAATGCCGGTCGAATTTGGCGTTTGATTCGCTGGACGTGCCACCCTTACCAACAATGGAGTGGATAGACTACGGAGCACAGCAAACCGATCATATGGCGCAGATGGGAGAAGATCTCACACTACAAACACAGCTTACTGCTGCGAATCATGACATGACCAATGAAGCTCCGAAAGCGGGAGGGGAGCTGGAAACCGTCGTTCTCAGGCTTCAGGAGAGGACAGAACGACTCGAGAAGGAACTTGAGAATCTCCAGAATGAGTAGGTTTTCTCTTTCAGCAGAACTGGTTAAAGTTCAGGCTAACACAATACTAAAGGCGGGAGGAGGAGAGGGAAAGGTAAGGTGGTTCGAAATTTGATGACTCTATGACTAATTGGTAAGCAGATTGTGCATGGAGGTTGAAAAGAACGTTAAAAAACTGGAGGATTGGAATGCGGAACTGAAGCAGTTAGTTGTTAACCTGGTCGAGGAACTCATTGGGGCTGGGGTTATCACGTCTCGTTAGAGCGGGAATAGGATCACTACGTTGTAGATGATCAGCATGAAAGGAATAAGTCTAGCTTCATTACTCAACACGTCTCTAGAGTCAAACAATTTGAACGGACTAAGTTGCGCGAATCCTTGATCTGCACTTACGCGGATTAAACCTATACTGGGAATATCCTCCTAGTGTGCGTCATGAGCAGCTCGTCATGAAGCAGTTTGTCGGGTGACGAATCTGGAGATATTCCGGGTCATTTTTACATACTATTTCTGGTACAAGCATTGGAGGAGTACGTCGTGCAATGCTATCTCCCGGTACAAGCATTGGAGGGGTACGTTTGCAAGCACGCTATACGAGGAAAAGGCAATTCCTGGTACAGAGGGGGACGAGGAAAAGGCAATTCCTGGTACAGAGGGGGACGAGGAAAAGGCAGTTCCTAGTACAGAGGAGGACGAGGAAAAGACAATTCCTGGTACGGAGGGGGCCACGCTATACGAGTAAAAGGCAATTCCTAGTACAGAGGGAAAAAGTAATTCCTAGTACAGAGGGGGGACGAGGAAAAGGCAATTCCTAGTACGGTGAGGAGCACGCTATACGAGGAATGGGTAATTCCTGGTACGGAGGGGGATGCTATTTCCCAGTACAAGCATTGGAGGGGTACGTCGGGCACATGCCATCTCCCAGTACAAGCATTGGAGGGGTACGTCGGGACATGCCATCTCCCAGTACAAGCATGGGAGGGGCCACGTCCCGGCTGAGGACCCACCCCCCCACCCACGGGAGGGAGAGCCTAGCGGAATTATACTTCGTATCACTATATCGTGTCTAGTCGACACTTCAGAGTGATAACTAGGGAGCCCCGAAACAAGTCCCTGCATCCTACGGAAGCTCAGTGGCGCATATCTTGGAAGTTGGGGGCCGAAGCTCTAATCAGGACAGCGGGCGCTACGCCTGTAAGGGTAGGCCACATAGCGTACACTGCCGACCATTACCGGCAAGGATGGCGCCATGGGGCCAGTCTCTGCGGTCTATCGCAGTAGCCGAGCGATAGTTTCAGGGATTCAGAATCGATCCGCCGGAATTAAGGCGGCGCATAGCTCCGGAGAGCCTTCGATTAGTGAGTGTCGATCAGCCTATATCGTGGGTGACGAACGATGAATTGCCGTTAGCCGCCGGCCCGGGCCGCGCTAGTATTTAGTATGATAAAGGTGCCCTCGATTGGGCTATGCCATTACCGAACGGATAGATATCTAGGCTTCGCCACGACGCCAAGAGTCAATAAACCCAGTAATTACTCTAACAAAGAAAATGATGCTACTAAGGTTGCAGGATGGGCCCCGAGTGCTAAATGAGCTATCGGCAGCCTTGGTAAAGAATCAACAAGAAAGGCATCAGCTACCTGACCTGTGCTCAATCGATACCTATTAGGGCCAATACACGGTAAACCCGCCCAGCACCGACGGAAGCCTTCTAGTATTAGAAGACGTCGCTGTCCACAGGCACAAGCTGCATCACCGTCGCCTTCTAGCGTTTCTGAATTCAGGCCTTCATCTAAACATCCCTCCACTCCGTCAGCCTTTTCTGCCAAAAACATGTTTGGCTGGCTTGTAAAAGTGATTTCAGATTGCTTCATGCAAAGGAGAACATCAGAATCCACTTTCTGCATGAAGGCGCGATCGTCCAAGATGTTCATTGTCGCCGCGTGCGCCCTGGCTGTTTTCACTGACTCGTACCTCTATAGTATGGTAAGTAGAATCACAGCGACAACAGCCTATCCACTGACTCTTACTAAGGTGGTCCCAATCCTCCCTTTCGCACTGGTCAATCGGGCAGGAGTGCAGGAGAGTGATGGTATGTCCAGGATCCGCATCTGAGAGTACACTTTCTAACCACGTGAAGTCGGACCATGGACATCGGCACTATTGGCCTGCTATGCGGCAGCCAGTTTGGCGATCTGTCCGGTTGCTGGCTATCTGGCAGATTATTTCACCTTACGCCGCACCACCTTCATTCTCGGTCTTCTCGTCCTTGCCGGCTCCACCATGCTCTTGTGTATTGGCTCATCAATGGCCCCCTTTGTCCTTGGAAGACTTCTGCAGGGTGCCTCGAGTGCCATCACATGGACTACAGCACTCACCGTTGCGGCAGAAACCGTGGACACGAGTGAAGTGGGGAGAACTATGGGCTTCTGTAGCCTAGGGATGAGCCTAGCCATGCTTCTCGGTCCTATCCTGGGAGGACTGTTGTTCCAACACCATGGCTACCAATCTGTCTATGGTCTCGCATTCGGCCTCCTCGCTATTGATATTATCTGGAGGCTCTTAATCATGGAAAGAAACGTCGATACGCAGAATATCGACCCCCAGCGTTGGAATTACTGGACCTTTGACTACGGAGATGATGGCACGCCCAGAATAGTCCCGCTGGGTCAGAGGGACGAATTTTTCGACGTAGAGTCACTCTCTTGGGGAACACGAACTCTACAACCCGAAGATTCACCAGGAGATACAAGTTCGGCCGTTACATCACAACATATTAATCACGCGTTGCCTAAATCTGCCCAATGGGCAATCATTCTACGAGATGCCCGGCTCCAGGTTGCCCTTTGGGCAAGTCTTGTGCAAGTCACCTTGATCGCTTCCTTGGATGCCGTTCTCCCTCTGTTTGTCCACAGAATATTCTCCTGGGGACCGCAAGGCGCCGGTCTGATCTTCATCCCTGTGGTGATCCCATCTCTCCTGGCGATTTGTGCAGGCAGTATTGTCGACATCGTTGGCCCTAAATGGGTTGTGATAGCCGGATTCTCGGCTGCAGCCCCCTCATTATTGATGTTACGGCTGATCGAAGAAGATACTGTTGGCCAGGTTGTTCTATTGTGTGCTCTACTCCTCCTCTTGAGCACGGGATTGGCTTTCGTCGGCGCGCCGTTGATGGCGGAGATCACGTTCGCGGTCGAGGCAATCGAACACACTCGCCCTGGAGCATTCGGTCCTAGGGGGCCTGTCGCGCAGGCCTATGCCTTCTATTATGTATTTGTTTCTGGTGGCTTGTTGATAGGCCCTCTCTGGGGCGGGTTTGTCGAAAAGATCGCAGGGTGGAAGACAATGACCTTGACTTTTGCCCTCCTCAGTGCGTTGATGGTGGTTCCAACGGGCATTTTCACTGGGGGTTGCATCGCCATGAGGCGATCGTCTTGCCGATGCTTGAAGAGGACTCGACCAAGTTAGTTGCTAGTGCATTTTCCAGGCTCGGAATGTGAGCGGAGGCATAATACGCAATCGGCGGCAAAAGCTATTGAGTGATGTCCCCGCTATTACACACGTAGTTCAGCTACTAACTAATCTCCAAAGATGTTAGCTTTAGTGTTGCCCTTTCCGCCGACTGAATCCCTGCATAATGGTAGTGATCATTACTTCGGTGATCCATCCGTATCCGTCATCACGCTAATATTTTATCGCTTTCCTAGTAGCGTATAAAGCACAAGCCGTTCTCCATCCTCCTTTACCGCAATCTGAACAGTGTCTATGCCTGAGCCGGTTTCCATTTGAAGTACACCCTGCCCTGTGAAACTCCCGACATGAGTCCTCCGAGTCTGGCGGCCTACATACTTACGCTGCTCTGTGTTGTTGCCGTGTCCAAGTTTATCACTGACAGTCACTTCGTCTCACCGCTGTCAAAGCTACCGGGTCCATGGATGACTCGGTTTTCACGGCTCCGAATGCTCTACGTTCGTTGGTCCCCCAGGGTTTCGGAGAACAAGTATATCCATGAACTGCATCAGAGATACGGACCCCTCGTGAGGATAGGCCCGAACGAAATCAGTGTATCTTCTATAGATACGGTCAGGAAGGTACTTGACTTTCCAAAGGATGACATCTATGTGCCTCACTTTATATTCTACGGGTAATAGTCAAATACAGCTTCTACCTCATCCAGGTTTACTCACGAAGCACTAGAGCTCTAAACATGTTCACCATGATGGACAGAAAACAACATGCCGAACGGAAAAAGATGATATCGAAAAGCTACACTAAATCAACTATCTTGTCTTCCGGCGCCCTACGAGAGACGTTAAATGTTCTGGTCTCAGAGCAGCTCTTGCCACTCATAGAAGAGAGTTCCACCACGAGGATACCGATAGAAGTGTGCGATCTAAATCGAGCATATGCGATGGATATCTTCACAAGCTACCAGTACGGGTCCTCCTTAAAAACAACATTCATCCAAGACATGAAGCGCCGTCAATGGTACTTTACGAGATATTTTCGGAGCAGACCATATTTTTTTGCCATGACAGAGATGCCAGGTTTTCTTACTCTCCTCTCTCGGCTAAGCGCTCCCTTCAGAGCGAGGTCGATCAAGAAGGCTCTCAACGAGCTTGAGAATTGGAACCTCGAAATGTGCGACAAGGCTGTGGGGCTTATCATTGCCGAAGAATCGAGTGGGATTGGCATTGCGAAGAGGGAGTACCCTGTCATTTTAGCGCAACTATATGTCTCACTACAACGTTTGCACTCAGAGATTACGGATCTCAGTTCGCCGCAGAAACAGTCTGCCTACCCTTTTCGATACGAACTTGCTAGCGAAATGTTCGACCACAACTTGGGTGCTCACGAAACCATTGGAAATGCTATTTCGTGCATTCAATTTGAGCTGTCGCGTCATCCAAAAGTGCAGGAAAAATTGCGTACCGAACTTCAAAAGCTCGTACCTATTCAATCTTCATGCAGGGGAGGTAGCGAAATTCTTCTTCCCAGTCTTCAGGCAGTCGACTCCTGTCCATTTTTAAATGCAGTCATACTGGAAACATTTCGAGTGTGGCCCGTGGCACGTACTCGGCCACGACTATCACCGACAGTATGCTCGCTGGAGGGTTACGGGAACATCCCCCGTCATGTCAAGATCCAGGTCTACCCCTATACACTGCATCGCAACGTCGACGTTTTTTCCGAGCCAGATGCTTGGATACCCGAACGCTGGACTTGCTCTGGTCCTGAAAAGGTTGAAACGATGAGAAAATGGCTGCTGCCGTTCGGTGGTGGCGAGAGAATGTGTATCGGGAACCATTTCGCAAACATAAGTGAGTGAACCTCTCTACGCTGCACGATTGAAACTGTTTTGAACATTTTACCCAGCAACTAAGTACCTCATTGCGGCAATATATACAAAATATACCAGTACTGTCGTCTTCCAACGCGATATGAACCTTACCGATGGATTCATTGCTGGACCTCAAGGGGGGAAATTGACTCTGCAGTTCCAGCACGCCTAGGCCATACTATTTAACCGTCGCGATACTGGATCGGCCTCTGGTTGAACAACTACGGTTGGAGATATACAAAGCGAGAGTTTTTAAACAGTAAAAGGCTCTATTTACGCATTCAGCACTTTCTCATTACGATCTTTCATTATTCTTGTATAGTTCGATGCGGTTCTTCTACTATCTTAGGAAGGAAAGGGATACCACATACAAAGATTGAGCTTGGGTAGATTCAAGGCCAGTATCCTCTACCTCAAAGGGCAAGAGAATATGGTAAATTGAGAACGAAATACATAGTACCCGTATAGCTATAGACTTCGCTTGAGGCCAAAAACTTGCAGGGGAATTCCCGAGTTACTTATTCTGGGAGAGTCATCGACACTGGGCGTACCTTCAAGGGCAGTTATTGGGTCTGACGGCGGCGTTAGGGAGCGGTTTCCCTGACAATTCGGCCGCTGCCTGTAAGTATGCATCGATAGCGGGCAATACGGTGCCGCAACGCACGCCGTTGATCAGGGTAACGGTCATGTTGACTTGATCTGGAGTGAAACTTGCTCCGTTAGCCACGAGACCTCTCAACCCATCAACGACAAATTGCAGTGTTCCATCGTTAACCAAGGTTGTGTTTGCTGCAACAACGTTCGGGTCGAGATTGTCCACGTCAAGGAACGCTGCATCAAGGGCGCCCTTTTGGTTAAGCTCATCGCCCTCAGCGGCAAGAGCTGATGCCGCTGCGTTTACCAAGTCTTGGCCACTGAGCGAGGGTGCCATAGACAAGAATTGAGAAACACGGGAGGTGTCGCCGGCCCAAATTAACTGCGCAATGCCGATGTTAAAGGCTGAAATTTGGCGGGCGGCAAGAATAGGTGTACCCAGGGACAACGTCGGGGTGAGTGCAAGGATTGTTGTAACAATGCCGGCGTAATACATATTGGATGTAGACGTAAAGAGAGGGTCTGTAGCAGTGTTGTGAAAAGGCGATGTGAAGAGATTACGATGAAAATTTGCTCTTCTGATTAACAGATGGTTGTGCGATCGGTGTTTCTTATGTCTAGACTGTAAAATTGTAGATCATATTAAGTACTTATGCGCTCCATAGCACCACCGGTGAAATATATATAAGTCCACATTCAGATAGAGAGGACGTATCGGGAGCTAATAGTGCTTGCTCGTAGTTTTGCGCCTGTCACGGATTATGGCCCTTCCGGGCCCCGGAATGGCCCCTAGGGGGGCGGGCCGGGGCGAAAGATTCACACCAATTCGTCCAGGGCTTCCTTCCTGCTCGGCTTCTGTAATATTGAGTTCCCTAATCAGGGCGCTCTTGATGTGGCCCGGAAATTGGAACTTCCTTGCGATAGTGCCTAGTGCAAATTATTTCGCTTCTTCCAGGTACTGTAAGGTGCGCGAGATTTCTGGCCCGCTTCTACCATCCAGTGTGAGGCTGATGAAGGGACGCAGTCTTGCTGAGCCTGCCTAGATGGCAACACTTACAGTAGTAAGCCGAAAGGCCAGGAATAGGACACCATCGTGTAAAGAGACGGATCACGCGTCACTCGTTATGCTGATGGCCTGACCGTTCTTTACCCGAACACGCTTAACTTTGTGTTAGAAGTGCAAATTCTTTGGCAGACCACACCCAGTCTAAACCCCCATATACGTTTTGGATTTTAGGAAGGTCTATATAGCGGTGGTTGAAGATCAAGTTGGTCTTTGTTGTATGATACGAAAACTCGCTAGTTCTAAATCCATCCGGCAGGGCTGTAGCCAGAATTGCCAGGAGCACTGTCCTCGATGCGCCAGGAAGCAAGCCAATATTTTTCAGCTTCTATCTGCTCTTGAAAGCATTTCCCGAGAGCATTCTGCATTCTCAACAGAGCTTCATTGGCGCACTGGAGCAGATCTAGCGTCGAACACCATTCCCTTTGATAGTGTAGAATGCTTTTTTGCAGGTGATGATTCTCAAACGTGAGCTTGTCGAGCGTTTCCAAGTAGTCCCGTCGCTGCAACTCGTCTACCCTTTGGATTAAGGAGTCGATTGAGCAGGATTCTTCTGGAGTAGCAGGTACCGTTGACGGGATCCAGGAATCGTAGACGGACTCGGCATCCATGATTTTCTCTGTTTGGAACCAGGCCTAGAGGAGATAATGTAGAGGGGTTGAATAATTTCCTCAGGAGAACTCTACAGCAAACTGCCTACATCCTAGGAACGGTATCCCTCAAATTCCAAAGGTCCGATATGCAATGGAACTAAGATTTAGCCTCATGGTTCCTCGAAAAGGAACCTAGAGTAGACCATACTTGGGCCCTCCCCCATTTTTCATAGGCAGAAAATAGAGCCGGGGTGGCTTTTCGCTTTGGCGGGCGTCCGCTGTTCTGTTCCGCAATAATTCTATTTCAACCGAAAAGCCATTTGGTTTCGCAGTGATCCTAATAAAGGCCAATTAAAATGTTTTGTTTCTGCAGAATCTGGCCGAGGCGATACAATCGGCCATCCCTGAGGTATCCATTAGACAAAGATCAGATTATGCCAAACCGTATTGTCGAAATGGTACCTCAACATCTGTCTACCACATGGGACAGAAATACATATCCCTTAGCTCAGCAAGGATCCATTACCCAAATCTCTTGAGCCATCACACGAACCCGAAGGCGAAGAAAATCTAGCCCGTGGCTATGATGCAAGGCCCAGACAGGCCACTCTGAGATCTGTGGGGACTTTAGATATTTCTCGGTACTTAAACAGTGTAGAAAAGCGAGTTCAGAAGTGTACACCGTATACGGTTGGATAACGCACGCTTTGTATTACGTAAAGACAATGTTTCGGCAGCAAGAGGCCAGTTAAAAAGACGTGGCTTGGGATATATCTTTTTGGAATATCATGTACTGTATCTTCATGGGGTAAACTAGAATTCTTGTGTCAAATCACGGTGTTTCCATCGAGGTAACAATAGATAGAAAGAATAAATGCGGAACTGGTAAAACAGATGCCGCTCGCCAAGCCGGCGGAGACAAATTCAGCGCCATACTATGTATCCTATCTAACTAAATGTCTAGGAAGATATAAGGGGATTAATGTTGAACGCCGTACGAGATTGAAATTCTGACACAGCCGCAGTTTGAGGGTCCTGCTGGGGCAGTGGGTTCGATGCTGCGCCTCTGATGGGCCCGGCGACTATATCGAGATCAGAACAAGTGGTGTAGTACTCGTCTTTGCCGTCAGGAAGCCCTGGAGTTCCGGGAGCCGTGGGCCATTGCCATACCCAGTAAATTGTGTATGGACTGTTAATCGGTAAATCTGGGGGTATGAGGACATCAGTCTCGCACCATTGTTCATTGACAGACCCAGGCTGGTCAGGAGTGCGATTGGGGTGTTCTTCCTGGCGAGTTTCAGATATGCTACCGCTGTTGATCTGATAACACCTCCCATCGTCAAAGTTCTGAGCCGTAAGGAGTTTACCGCGGCCATCACCTCCAGTGCCATCTGTTGTCCATTGAAGAACCCCCATTAATAGGTCGTTGTTAGTGGGCTGGCTGGTCCCAAAGACAAAGACAGTCCCGCCTCCCTGCGGCTTGCCAGGTTGGATTTGAGGGAGGGTAACGTGCCCGTTCTCAAGGTATTTCATGGCCACATAAGCTCCAGGTGACGCGCTCAGACGGGGGTAGCCATCCGTTTGATTGGCGCTTTCTTGAGTGGGTGAACACACGAGATCCGAATCATCCACCCTCGTTCTTCCTGAGTCTAACGGTGGCAAAAGATAGGTCATCATATTATCGTTAAAACCAGGATCAGACCGAGACACATAGCCGCGAGGATAGCCATTGTTCCCGGTGAAGAATCCATTTTCGATCACCGTAAGCTGCTCATTCCACGAATGAGCAAGAACTTGACTGAGCAGAATCGTAGTGGGAAGGAATATCAAATGCATAATGAGGTTCAGGATGTAGAGTTCTTGCTCTAGGGCCGAACTTTAAAAGCCTGGCTCTTGATATATATCTACTGAGACCCGGTTTTTGGAACTCTTTAGATAGTCACAGTTTGCTAAACCCTATCTGTTCATGCACAGGAAACTGGGACCCAGAACCGGTCCAGCAGTGGACATTGCCAGCTGGATGGGAAAGTCACGTGGGCGTCAACTTTACATGGATGTCGATCCAACGGACAAGTCTTAAAATAACTCAGGCACTAGAGTTTTATCGAACGAAAAAGCCGGAAACACAAAAAGTGATGCTGTATTTAAGCGAGCCATTTCAGTAATTCTGAAATGCTTTAAGCGGTTTAAAGGTGGTATATAGTCAAAGGGCTTGAGAGATAGTGGGATCCGATAAAGGGAGGAAATCGATTTGTATCAGCCAAATCGTGCAATACAGTAATGTGCGAAATCGGTGTCCTAGAATCTGTGGAGAGATAGTCCTGTTTACTCCACTGCAGACGGCGCTTACCTCAAAATGGCGATGCTTAAACTTCTAAATTCGACCAATAATCTTACTGATCGAATGGGGCTGTACATGCTTTATTTTACATACATTATATCCATGCGTCATTTGAAGCTCAATTGTTTTATCACGTGGTCTGCAGAATCAGCCACGGAGATTCTCGTCGAGTGCCTCAGGGTTCCTGTTTCAAGGAGATATCTCCAGGACCACCACAAGGTGTACGTAACCACAGATAATCTCTTGAAGGATTAGCATAGACAAGATTCACATAGCTCTACCATAAAACCAATTCCCATCCAACAAGTCCGAAGCCGTACAATTGCTTATGAGATCAGATATAGTCTTCGCGTCCATTTCAAGGTCAAAACCGTCGTCAGCACACCATGCGACAACGTTGTACCTATCTGGGTCACTCAACCCAACGGAAAGCAAAGCCGTTCCAACAATCTCAAAATTGTGCGTCAGCCTCTCGACTTCGTCTCGTTCAGACAAAAGCATGTGTTCGGGCAAGTCATCCTGACGACTGATGCGAGCAATAATAGCCTTATCCAGATTTCGTACGCAATATATGAAATCTCCAACACGCATTTGCGCGGGGCCTATACCGACTCTTCCCCATATTGTGCCTGGGTATTTATCACTTCTGTATAGAAATGCCTTATAGTCGGCGTATGCAGGTCCATTTGAGTTTGAATCTTTTGGGACTTGGACTGGCGACGGCACAATCTTACAATCTCTTGTGTATTGTAAGATGTCGATCGGAGTTGAACTCGACGCCTCCCACCGAATACTTGGGTCGAAGGCTAATACTCCCTGGAGGTCTGATTCGGATAAGGTCTGCAACTGGTTCATGAACTCCTCGTTTGCCTTAGATGCCGGGCCCGGATCTTTGTTGAAGTTTTGATGAAGCCTGGCTGCCCATGAATCCGCTGCGTTAAGATCAGCAATGAGCTGATATATAGACGGCCCTATATCAATGATCATCCCAGCCGTCGAGGTTGGAATCTTGGTATCTGGATTCCCTCCTTCGGAAGTAGAGAAACCAGGGGAGACAAGCGGATATCTTCGCGGTCGGTTGCTAGATGCTTCGATCTCTTTCCACCCAAGAAGTCTTTTTACTAACTTGGAAAAGCTAAGAATGTCGTGTGAGTCAACCATGCCGTTAGAAGTCACGAAGTCAATGGTGTCTTCCCAAACTTCATACAGAGATTTCGAATAGTCCATAGGAAACCCGTAAGAATCAATTGCGAGCCCGACGAAAGCATAGACCTTGTCACGAGGATCCTTGCACTGTGCATTTTGATGACGTTTTAGAAGATCAACAAAGGTATGTCCTTCCACGAATTTCGACTGAAGTTGTTCGTGAAGCGATGATGGTCCGGAAGTGTCGTGCTCGTCTCCCCTCCACCATGACGACCAGGACCGGTGGTTGATTCGCTTGATGAAGTCATCCCAAGAGAGTCTATTTTGATTAAAACAGATTTGAATCTTTCGGGCCTTTCCAAGCTCTTGTACGATCCATGCCCGCTGCCAGTATGGATGACGGCAAAGCGCCAGTAGAGACTTTTCGTCTAATTCTGACTGATGTTGAGAGGCATCTTGAATCTGGGCAGCGGGGTTTGCGCCTAACCATACGCATACGGTTTCAGCCCGGTTGTATATGTGTGGCATAATCTTCAGTTGCCTGTTTCGCTCTGGAATATTCTCTTGGTCGATGCATATAGCATCAGCCCACAGGTAACTGTCGTATCCGTCGACCCTGAGAGATCTTAAGGCCTCCGAAAGATTTGTTCCGATCTCCAACTCTTTTCCGTCCACGTGGATGGTGTTCTTGACCTTCTCATCGCCCCAAGTGTAAGAAAGAGCCCGATATCGAGGCCTTTGCCCGAATTCTACTTGTATTAGGTTACAGCGTATTGGGTCGTCGACATTTGGAGCGGCTTCCACTTTTGCGAGCCGAATGTAGTCTGCCGAAGGGCTTAGTGATTGGTAAACGTACTTCACAAGAGACACGGAGAGCATGGCTGTTGTTGACGCAAGTGGATAGATGTTCTTCGCCTCTGTGGTAGCTGCATTCTGAGATAGTCGTTGTGCAGCCTTCATATGCGATAAGGCTGGAGGAAGCCTGGATTGGCGCTAGGCCGGGTATCTACGACATGTAGTTATCACGTGGTCGTAAGAATCGGATTTATCCGGTTTAAATGACAATTTCGCGTTGTGTTGTATATTCTTACGTGACCGTAATTTCAGTTGAGTAGCGGTACTGTACTTAACTATTCATAGTAAGGCGCCTACCAGCCCGGACCCACTCGACTTGTCCTAAAACTATCTTTGCTGGCCAAATAGGACACCGATTTCGCACATTACTGTACACATTCGTATTGAATGATCGACCGAATAAAATCGCTATGCAATAAGAACTGACATTTGCCAACTTCCAAACACGCATAACTATCCCTATTTATCATTTATTCAATGCCAATCTGCGAACACCACATAGTTTAACACCACACTCCGAAAATGGCACAAATAACTGCGAAGATGTAGGAAGAATCTGGTCGAGATTGGGCTGCTCCCCCAGTGGAGATGTTGGCGTCCTCGTTTGCTGATATCGCTGTGGCGGATGAACGAAATGTAGATCCAGGGATTGGGCTCAAGGCATATGTTAGGTTCGATGCATTAAACGCCGTGGCAGTAGAGCAAGCAGTGAAAGTGGCAGTGCTAGTTGATGCAAAAACAGTGCTAGTGCTGGTTAACACAGGACCAGTGCTAGTTTTGATAGGACAAAGGCCAGTGGTGCATGCAATAGGGGAAATTATCGAAGATGAATTGGCTAAAGACGTTGCGACTCCTGGGCGAGTCAGGGCGATGGTTCCAGAGCCAGTTAGGTCACCTATCTGAATCTGGAGCGTGACAACTGGTTTGCGAAAGGAAGCGTTGCTCGATAATGTTGAGGTTGGCTCAGGGATACTGATATTCCAATGTCTTGCTGGACTTGTTGAGAGTACATGTCCAAGAGACAGTGCGATTGGTGCTATCAGGAGGAAGCGCATAGTGGTCAATTAGGTTCAACTCAAATTAGGTTCAACTCTGAAATCACTTCAAGAGATGTTATTGAGAAGTTAAAGAAAGTACTGTATGTTTACAGTAGTGTCTGCAGACGTCTTTAATTCCTGAAACGGGCCCGTAAGAGGGAACCTTGAGGTTCCCGACAACGGGATTCCGCAACGCTGCAACTGTAGCCGAAGAGGCTCAAATCTAAAGACCCAGACGTCTAACAGACCCTAAAAATCATCAATCCAGCACAATTCGGCTTTCAAACAAAGACCCATAAACGCGGGGCTCACTATGGGCCCTGTTTTCCGGCCTTTATGGGTGATAAACCCCGTGTATGGGAAGGGAGACGGAAAAGAGGTCCCCCGGTGAGCTCATCAAGGTCCCTTAAATCAGTCCGAGGTTTCTTTTCTGGGGCTTTGATAGGTGCGAGAATGACTATAAAGTAAGTATGGCTTCAGATTTCTCTTTTTCTTTTCTCTAACAACCCTTCATCAGACCGTTTCAATGGCGTCTTCGGAGTCTGGAGGCCAGGAAGGGCAACCTTCAAGTAGCTACGACATCGTGCCGCATTCTAGAAATATCTATCCTCCAGATACTTCAGATTCCTCACCACCACAAGGATCGTCCCCAAACCTTCAGGATAAGGGTGGTCAACCTCTAGTTAACGGTGCTCAAGGAGAGGGAGGACAGGGTTCAGGAAAGACTGGTGACCATGGCGAAGCGAAAGCGAAAGCGTCGGGGAAACACACACGACGTCAAAAAGCAACCATCGAAAGAATAATGAAATGCGAAGAAAAAAACTACTATGGAATCCTTGACGTGCCGTCATCAGCTCCGCAGGACGAAATTCGTGAGGCCTTCCGCAAACTCAGCTTTTTGACCCATCCAGACAAGACCGGCTTTAGGCATGCAAAGGATGCATTTCAAAGTCAGCTTACAATTCATGGATCTGAAGTTTGACTGCTAACAGAGCTATAGGAGTCTCGAACGCTTATCAGGTGTTAGAAAGCATAGCTAACAGGAGGCGTTACGACAGAGAGGGCATGACATACAAGCCGAATGTCGAGGACGCCGAGGGCTTTTTTAACGATGTGTCTGCGAGCTTTGCTGACAACGCGTATGATGCCGACCCAGACGACTCGCTCGACTCAACCGACGATGACATATCCGACGAAGACGAGGGGGGTAGTGATGAACCTGACGACTTGACGTTGGCGATCTATAAACAGGCAACGCCGTTTGTTAATCAATTTCTCCGCGGCATGCCTGCTGATCTTGACAAACTTAAAGAGTTGAATGGGCAATTACTGACACGTAACAAGAAGGAGAATGTCCGGGATCTTAAGTTCTACATTAATACTAACGTTCTAGAGGCGATGGCCCAGGAATTGGCTAATGCTTTTGGAACCCTGGATAAAGAGCCAACCAATGAGAAGGGGGTGGAAACCTTGGCGAACCTGGACGAGCAACTCGAAAAGCTGAAAAGGTCTTTCCGTTACCCCGAAGACTGGAAGATCGAGCATCCTGCGGGCATTAAAGAGAAAGTTGAGCAGGAGCTTCGAAAGCGAAGCAAAGGAAAGGGGCGCGCTGATCCCGCGCCAGAAAGCACTCCAAATAACAACGCACAAGCTGGCTCATCCACGAATCAAGGACAAGAGCGTAGGGCTCCTGCGCCAGAAAGCACTTCAAATAACGACGCACAAGCTGGCTCGTCCACGGATCCAGGACAAGGGCGCGCTGATCAGAGCATGACGGACATCGATGGCCAGGCAGGAAATCTATCAGGCCATCCAATCACCGTGTCACCAGCCACCTCAGCAGAGGTGGGAAGGGTTCGGAGCAAGGTACTCCAGATTTGGGCTGAACAGAAGCATGACATCCACATCACCGACGACGGGGATGCCATCTTATGTTACAAGGCTCTTTCTAAAGAAGGGAAGGACCCGTATGCCTACGAATTTGTAGTGATGACCCCGGGGACACCCCACTTTCAGGTCAAGACGGGCGCGGAGATCGGTCGCCGGAATGTTAAAGCCTACCTAGAATTACGGAACAAATATCAGATTTATACCGACAAAGGTGACGACAATACACCGAAGTATACTTGGAGACAGAAAGACAACTTTCAGGACCTGCTATTCGTCGCGTCAAAGCCACGAAAATCCAGCACAGCCGGTAAAACGCCCAAGGCCGCTGATACACAATGTTGCGTCCTATGGAAGGACCCCCAAAAAGCTCAGGGTGCTCGGTTCGCGGTCATGGCCAGAAACCACTTCAAGAGTGTGGCAGACGACGACGAAAGGAAGCTCATCGAGAAGTATTGTAGATCCATGGGCGTCTTAGCGCCATGGGAGATGAATCCCAAAACGGTACAGCTGTCAGCGGATACTCCACTAGGACAACAACTTCTATCCGCCGGGCGGTCAGGTTCGTTGTTGAGTGCGCAATCATTAGTCAATTCAAATGCTCTGGCGCTACCACTGAATGGCGGGAATGCAGTGGCTCAAGACGTGATGACGACTCTCCAGAGCTCCATCGCTTCGCTTCAAACACATGTACAAAGGATGGAGTCAAGGTTTGAGAGTACGATGATGTCGATGAATGAGGCAATTTTAAAGCAACAGGAGCAGCAGACGAAGATGCAAGAAAGAATGGATTGCGAACGAGTCGAACAAACCTCCATCAATAAGGAGCTCCTCGTGCTCCTCAGAAATCTGACTCTAGGGTCACCAAACAGCTCCTCGGAAAATTCAACATAAGCTCAACGTTGGTCCCCTCCATGACGAAGCTGGGAAACAGAATCAAGATGTCTGGCGTATATCCTTCAGGTGGTATGATTTCTCTCCGGCGTTTGGTGTTTATCTGGCTGGCCCCTCGTATTAGGTGTTCCTGGCCTGGTGTTGGCGTAGGTGTCCCTGATTTCACTAGTGGTTTTGGCTCGGTTTGTGTTTGCCGTCGGCAGGATCCGCACGGCCAATTTGCAGCATGTCTTGCGCATAATTTTTGGTCGTTAGCTTGCATAATGGAACGATTACTCTTTACTCGAACCGGGAATTTCTGTGCACATGGCTTTCTACTGCCAGCTGTCCCTGGCGAGATCTGTACAAGCTTTATGTTTGCTTTAGGAGAATAACATTCCTTCCTTTATAATAGTAGACGACTATGGCAAGTAGCATAAAGCCTTAAAGGCTCCACAAATATGTCATTTAAATTCCCACACAGTACTATATACCTCAAACTGGTCATTACTATACACCTTGCTGGCTTGACAAACTTTTCATAGGTTCAACAGTAACATAAAAGTTCATAACTCGAAAGCAGTAGACTCATCTTGAGGTCGAGCAAGGTAAATCATCCTCGACCGCTGATTGACAACGACGTCGAAAAATTGATCCTCAGATAGACCTCTTCCATCCTCATCGTAAGGATGTAGGCCCTCGTTCCTCCACAGATGGCGCGTCACCTTCTCACCAACTTCGTCCCGTTTGCAGTCGCTCTCCATAAGATTCCATTTGCCATTTTCCCAGATCGAGATTGACACAGTTTGTTCATGGATAGGTTGAGATTCCTGCGTCAGGTTAGTTTCCCCAAGATGTGAAGCTTTGTTTTCCACATACCTGTTGGGGTGAGGGAGATTCCAACATCAATGCTGACCTGCGTGCCGGTGGTAGAGATCCAAACACACTCGGGCCAGAGGTTTGCTGTGTGGGTCTTGGCGAGCCTCCGTGACCGGGAGCAGCCGGTGAATTTTGCCGCTTCTTTCTCACTACCGACTTGCTTTGTGCGCTCGCGTTCGGATTCTGGCCAAGAATTATCTTCTTTGCATGGCCTGTATCGATGGGATACATTTGCGGGCTTTCGAAAACGAACCGGAATTGGGAAGGTGGATGTGGGTCACTCCACCTTCCTCTCTTGAGACTAGTGGTCAAACTTTGGGAATCTGTCCCTGGCGGCACGTCTACGTTGGTGTCCTGCCATTCCATGTTGACGTCCTGTTCACGCGACTCTTGATTGGTTGTATCGACGCCACTTTGATCCTGCATATTGACGTCTTGATCGTGGGACTCGCCACCATTCTCACCAGGATCCTGATTTGGGGGTTGGCTGTCCTGCTCAGCGGACGGTGGTTCTTCAGAGGGCAAGTTCACGATCCCGAAAAAAGCAATGTAGACTGATTTTCGAACAAGGAAAGATGTCACTCCCTTACCGAGATCATCGTCAATTTTGTTGAGATGTTTGAAGAACAAAAATGGTTGGCTGCTCTCGTAGGCGGAGCTGACAATCCACCCTCGGCGATGCGAGATTTTCTCGCCTGACCCGTCCACGGATGAGATGGAAACTGAGTTGTCCTCCGACATTTTCGTTGCCGTCTTCATCATTTCAGCAATCTGATCTTCAAAGTTCTCCAAGAGCCCATCCGGGTATTTGTATCTTTTCGGGTCGCGGGCCATGAGCAGCATGTCGCGGGCGATTGCTCGGTCTGCATCCTTGGTCCTCAACCGGTGGATCTCTTCCGATTCAAAACCTAGTCGGTAAGCCAGTGTTCCGATACCTCGCCACAAAGCAGGATTGGGTTTCCGTGGCTGTGGCGTGGCCTCTCTAGCTTCTTTCTTCGCTGCCTGAGGAACCATCTCCAGCACGAAGCGCATCGCATAAGCGACGATTTGCCGGTACCCGACGGTGATTTGATGGGTGAGGCTTCCAGGAACCGACTGGAAAGAGGACTCGGAAGTTTGGAGGACGACCTGCCCGTCAGTCTGGTTCACGCCAGAGAAGGCATGTTCTGCCGCTTCTCGGATCGAATACTTGGACCTCCTTTTGGAGTTCACGAATAGTCTCCGCAGAATGGCGGCGCATGGTTTGATGTATATGAGATCTTGTCGTAGGGTGTAGAACGTCGGAATTGGGTAGGGGATTGAACTTAACTGTCTTAGAATATCGCCGCGATGTCTCGTGTCCCTGATCTCTCGGAATATTTGACCCTCGGACATCAGCTGCGTGACCTTATTTAAGTCATGCGGTGACGCCCCCGGAGCCCTTGACTGAAGCTCCGCAACGGTGTCTGGATCCGTAAGGTAGTACAGCTCTCTGTTCTCACGGAAGAATTTCTTCCACGTGTCGAAGATGAGCTCGGTATAGTGGATGATTTCCTAACAAATCGTCAGAACGAGATTCAATTGTCTACAGGGTAACTGACTGGTTCCATATTCATTCCGATCATCTTATGCAGCGTCCCAATGTTGAAGCCATATTTGCTGCTAGTCCAGAGTCCATAGAAGGGTAGGAGGCGCTTGAAAGCGGCACTAATAGCCCTGCGAGCCAAAAAACGTCTTAGAATATCCCTCTTACTCTTTGTGAGACGAGCCCAGCATTGGAACTCGGCAAACTTGTCACCGCCAGACTCGTAGTATATGATCTTCAGAAATATAATGCCGTCCGAGAAATTTAGAGAATTTGAATACTCTTCTGATAGAGCCCTCTTTGATTTGTCGCTCAATCCTACGAGCCTTAGCAGAGATTTTAAAGATAGGCAGGCGCTGGACATTACCTTCTAGATAGAGATCCACTATCCACCACTTGTCTACAGCTCTCAATTTTGCCGACTCTTTGGCAGCTTGGATGCGATGTTTCCCTGTCAGACATTCAATGTGTACATTGGGGGGAAATTTAAGCAGCGGCGGCAGCTCTTTCGGATTATCCAGGAGTCTATCGAGAGATACCTCTGAGGTTCCTGTGAACTCAATGGCGCGTGTCAGGTCAGCCAATGAGATGATCGCAGGCACGTGACGCTCTGGCCCTTCTCGGAGGCACCCTTCCTCCTCGTAGATAGCCTTCAGTCTCTCGACATTTGCCCTGTCGAGATCTCTTATATTCTCAGGCGTAAATCGAAGAACGTTGAGCATGACGCGAGCTTTTCCTCGAAAGTTGGACGCCTTGTCTCTGACAATATCTCGCTGATAGTCATTTACTTCGCTTTGACTGGCCATGATGGCGGCTCGCAATCTGCATATTTGTCTGATCCCTGGGTCGTTGAGCAGAAGCGAAGTATCCCTTTGTACCAGTCTAAACTGAGGTTATATCCATTTTCGAATGAGATGAAAGCCTAACCAGCGCTCTCAGGTCCATATTTTGGGCCCGAAAGGGCCCATTCTAGGGAACTGTGAGGATGAGTTATGCGTTCGGCTTCCCAGTGATAACCAGTGATATTACATTTCCCCGTGAGCCTGCTTATTTCTTTCTCTCTGCCAAAACACGTTCTGTCATCTCCTATCCTTGTCCAGTCATGAGTCCTATGCAGAAAACCTCTAACCGTGACACAGTCTTCCCAGGGAGCGGCGGCGATTATCTGGCGAACATCCAAAGACCCAACAACTCTAATCTCCCAGAGAGTCAGGTAGAGAGCTCTACTAGACACTCTCGCGCTCTTGTGAAGAGTACGACGAAGTCGGGTCTGCGCGACCTTTATCTTCCGTTGAAATACAAGACTCAACGAGTTAATTGGAGAGAAGATTCCCCTTGGTCATTCTACGAAGGAGCTTACCGTATTGAGCTGGGTGGTTCCGTCGCCGTTGTTCTCAGATCAGACACAGGAGAGCAGTTCACCCTCAGCAGCGCCTCTATCACCGAGGAACAGATAAAACGCCTTTGCGAGCTGAAACATAAAAATTTAGTCCAGACTTATGAGGTGTTTAGTTATGAAGGTGTATACTACACCGTATCCAATCACGAGGCCATCTCTCTAAACCACTTTATTGCGTGCGACAAATCACTCAATGAGGCACAGCTCGCCTCAATATTTGCTCAGGTAAGTCCACAAGGTCTGACCTTGTCCATGGCTGAGAATTTGTCCAGTCCCTCGAAGGCATCGCATATCTCGCTACTCACGGTCTTCGGCACTCTGAGATCATATGCCCCAATATCCTGGTGTCGCTAGAAGGAGTTGTGAAAATTGGTACGTCTGCACAGTGCCGAACATTCGTAACTACTAACCACTTTATATTCAGCAAATCTTGAACTGTGCCAAAACGGCGCACGAGCTCCGGCAAAACAGGATCTTGCTGCACTAGGTTCAGCCGTGATGAGTGTCATGAATAAAAAACATGTCGAAAAGGGGAAATTTTCTATAATGAACCCATCTCTTTGGTCGTCGGAGGCCATAAGCTTTCTATCTTTGACGATGGATAGCACATACGAAGCGTTGTCATCGCATTCATTTCTGGATCTTGCCAAACCTCAATACCTTCCGTGGATCGTTTTGTATGCGCTAAGGAAAGCTCACAATGCCGTGGCGCCAATTTAAAGAGACATAATTTATTTGGTCACTTACACCGCATTTGAGAATCCCTATTGTCGCGAACTTCCACATACGTAAATGGTATCATGTGCGATTGGATTTAAAAGGGATAGTGCCTAGTAAAATTGTGGAGAAGTCGGTGCTAGACCTAAGTTTCGTACGGTCAAGTATGTTCGTTACTCGCCTGATAGGGTAAGCATGGTCAGGATGAGTCGCGGTCCTGGCTGGTCCCAAAAATGGGACTTCGCGAAATAAATAGTGACTTCTTTTGGGCTCTCGAGTTCTAGGTATAAACGACAGAGGCCCCATTGCGGCTGGGATCAAAGACAATCCAAGTAACAAAATATCAAAACATACTTTAATTAGTAGCAATAGAAGTTTGCTCTCTCCCTTGCCCCATTAACATAATGAAGACCAGTGAAAACCTTGAACAGGTCGACCGGGAAACGCAGACTGTTCTCCTAAATTGTCCAATCAGTATTGGAGCGAACGAGACCGGGGACGGAGTCGACCAGCGCTGCCCAGTAGTAGAAGCGCAGGCATTGCCAATGAAGCGACAGGCAGGTGCAGGGCAGCTGATTGTTCAGTCGAAGCCAATCTTCATGGATATTTTCGGTGATGATGATAACAGCGACGACCAGGACTACGTACTGGCGACTCACAGACAAAAGGTTGCAGTCCAACGAGTTCTCAGTCAAAGAGATGGTGATCACTATGGGATCCTTGGTATACGAGACGGTAGTTCCGACGCACTTATCCTTCATGGATTTACGGAAACAGGAAAAGAAGTTCACCCGTATTTTAACCCAGATGACAAGGCCCCTGACGCATACCGACGTAAGTCCAAGATCTACCACTCCTTTAAGGGAGGAGCTTACCAATGTGATAGGTGTCGTAAGGGCGGCTAAAGCGTTGGGGGTGTCAAGTGCGAATATCAAGGGAATGAAGAAATACAACGAGGATGAGGACGAGTACAGAACACTTCACGAAGGCGTCTGGATCGATTAGAGCCCTGACAGAGTTGGGCCAAAAATCATTAAGATTTTAAAGGGTGTCACACCGTTGGATTATTATGCTCATGGCTTTTGTTACATCGCCTTTAGATGGGCTGCGAATTAGTAATATGTTTGACTTCTCAGAGCAACTTGACATCTAAAATGATTCTTGGATTAATCTGTAATGTCGCCAGTACCTAATCAATGTCCAAATACGCAGCACACTCCTTCGTGTTCACTTCAATCAGTAGCTCTCCCGCTTTCTTTTCCTTTCTCTCAGTGTCGAATGGCGCGTAGCTTCTAGCACGGACTTCTTAAACGTGTCGTGGCCGACTGCCTCGATAATGGATTCGGAAGAGACCCACTTTGTCTGCAGCTCGAAGATATACTTTGCTCCGGTGATCGAGCACGGCGTGCTCTCGACGACTCGAACCGAAAACATATCTAAGAATTGAAGAAGACTAGGCTCAACGCTTTGCAGTCGAAAATCATCTTCATTGTTGAATCCGGCCTCACTCTCTTGGCACTTCTCCCCTTCTCCGTCATCATGCTGCCTGTCATCGATCGAACTGGATGCCCACGGCTCACTGGGATCAGGGCCATCGTCCACTTCTTCAGCAGGTGAGGCTGATATCACTCGCTTGACTGGGAAGTCGACATGGCTATCAGGCCGGATACCGTCATCAGGTCCATAGCCCTTCTCGTGACGGCGATTGAGCAGCGAGTACTGTGATATCTTTTTCCATGGTGAGCGTTTCGAGGTGGTTGGTTCAACAGGCAACGTCATGGACATTTCTCTGAAACTTTTACCCGCGGGTGGGTTGGACGGCGGCTCGTACTTAAACCTAAGTATCAGCTAGCCATCATGCAGATCATGGGTAGATAGTGATCATATGATGTGCCTACCTCATCATCACTGTCTCCGGTAAGGTCCATCACATATGGCCCCCGCGTGCCGTCCTTGGCAGGAGGTCTCTCGTAGTCGCTTTCTTCAATCTCGATTCCTGTAAAGATGTGAGATTAGCCAACACGCACACTCTTCAACCGTTGCACATTATACGTACCATCGTGTTCGGCGTGTAGGGTGTTGGATTCCATTGTGCTTCCGTTCTCAGTCAGTCTTTGCCACAATACACACAATGTGGTTGACCTTTGTGGAAGAGCGAAGAAGGGGTGTTCTAGCAAAAGCAAGAAGAGGAGGATGAGGATGAGGAGAAAGATGAAGAGAAAGAAGAGAATGCAGAGAGGTCGGGAACTGGAGCATCCTTTTATACCTCAAATTTGTTCCCTGTTCGCTCATTCAGAGAAACTCCACTTGCCAGCGTAGTGCAAGGCAAACTGCCTCAAAGGCTCTCGTGGCCAGGGTTGCGATCCTTCAGCGAATCCGTGGGACAATGATGGCAACACAGCTGAATATCACTCCTGGAAGAGATCTAGCTTTCTCAGGACATGGCCCAGGGTGGTGTTTGTTGCCGCCTAGCAATGCCACAGGCAGTGCTTATCAACCAGACTCCTCCGGACGAACGTTGAGCACTGTCAGACTTTCCGCTTGCGTTGTATGGGGCAAATCCGATCCTTCGAAAATGGCGAGGACCTTCTTTCTGCCCAAAGGCCCTCTCTGGACGTTGGGTTCTTTGTTGAAGGCTGGAAATCAACCGTGAGCACATGGGGAGTTCCATGGAGTGTAGACAATCCAAGTCCAGAGTATCCACAGGAGTTGGCTGTGCGGAGTTTCCTAGGCGCCGATGACACCACCGTCACTCCGTCCTCATAGCAATCAGGCAACAAACTGCCCTGAATTTACTCCTTATTTTGCATGGTCGCCACGCCAAGGGGCCGCTCCGAGGGAGGACCGAAAGTGATGGATGGCTCTGAGTCGAGGAGACGAGGGTGACACCGTATGCGAGTGCAGCTGAAGTGTGTCCTGCATTCTGCCGGATTTTCACCTCCTGAACTAGTCCGTTTGCTGGCCGGAAATGTTGGAGAGGGCTGCCAGGGGGGCGGCTCCCTTCGTGTTGCCGTCCTCGGAGGCCTGTTGATGGAACGTCATATGGCACATGACACGCCTCGTCCTGGTGGATCTCAGAAGCCTTTGCAAGCCTCAACGGTCATTCGAGCACTGGCTCGCAAGTCCCCGGCCCCCTGTTGAAGTGAGGGATTTGTCATGTTGAGCAGGTACGGTGCCTTGATCTAGAGTCTGCCTTGCTGGATAAGCGGTAGCATGCCACAGGCTGGTGCGGCAGGTTATCAATGCCGGGATCAGGGTTGACAGCAAATCATAGCTCCAGAGCTGCCTGATCTCCAAGGAGAACTGGCAAACGGGCAGACGGGAGGGTTGAATTCTAGTTAGCTTTTGGATGATCATCAGCACTCTACTCCTCGACGGGTATAGAGCACGGTGTGCTTCATTTAGATCCTGGTAGATGGTTGTCACTCTGGAACCTTTGTTCGTGTGAAATGGAGAGCGCTAGACGGCTGAGAACTATGCCGTCATCGATCACTGTCAGCTCCGCATACGTCCAGAGTTCACCTCAGTTTGATCTTTTCATAAGTCGTTTCGGAATCCTGGGATTCCGAAAGGACATCCTACCGTTGTATTAAATGATCTCATCCGGTCTTTTCCTGTTCCTCCTCCCTGCTCTCTTCTTTAGCAGCGCAGCCTTTGATCTTGTGTACATCAAAGTTGACAATCCGTCTTTTCTTTCCTGTCTGCACCGCTGATGATGGCTTCCAGCAGCACCGACTCTGGCTCTGGGTACGGACCTGAGCACCGTCAATTGACAAGCACTGAAGCGGAAGTGCTCGGGCTGTTTCGGAGGTTGCTCCATTTGGTGGCTTCGGACGCGACGATTGATCTCGGAAATCTGGAAGAGGTACGTGCGTTGATATCGGTTGTTCTTGGTATTGGGCACTAACGATAAGCTGCGGCAGTTTTCTGTCATAATTCGACAATTGTGTGAGGAGGTCCCCGAGATCGCTGATGCATTGGCAACGACAATCCAGGAGGCGAGGAGTGGCATCAACAACTCTCTTCAGCAAAATCAAAACCTGGTGGAAAAGAGTACCAGCCACGCCACGAATCGCAGGCGCATGTCGCGCAAGGATCTGTCCTACCGACCACCCAAGTCTGCCAAGGCCAAGACGACAGACTTCAGTTCCAAGAGCGATTCTGGCCCCCCCGAAACCGGTGAAGTTCACTTCTCGGTTGAAAATTCTGCCGCCAATGATACCCAATCGTCATCGGTTCAAAGCGCTGGGGCCGATTTGGACGGGTCGAGTGAGGGTGTCAATGCACCCCGACCCGAGGAGACGTCGCTGCCGGATCAACAACTAGACCTTACTCAGGATGTCATTGACCGAGACGAAGACACCGCCGACCGCCGAGGAACCGCCGTTGAAGCAAGCAAGGACATGGAGAAGAGAATTGAGACAACGGAAGAAGCACACAACTATGCTGAGACCACGCAAGCGGTTGTCTTGCCTCGACTGTCGACGCCTCTCGCAAAGACCGATCCAGCAGTGCTCACTCCCATGAAGCCGGTTGAGGGCGCGTCGCCACAAACGGAAGAGATTCATCGAGAGAGAATCTTGACACCACTTGAAAGCGTTGCGTCACCTCCTGTGTTGCAATCAGGATCACCCTCGCTCGAAACCGATTCCTTCATGGACCTCGTCATTGAGGCAGTGGGGGCCATCCATCAGCTCAAGAAGTACCCGGACGACGTTGCGGCGGGGGTCCATTCCAGAATTCTCCAGACACACCGGAGAAACAGTCAAGAGGTAGCTTCCGGGTTGACCCTGGATCAAAGGTGGTCTGATGGATCAACGTGGATCCGCATACTCGAAAATGGGTCGGCACGGAATCAGAAGGGTACGATCCTCAGTATGATAGAATATATGGGGTTCTGGGAGTGGTACGATGAACAAATCCATCTGGCGATGAAGACAATCCGCACCCGAAAGGGTAAGTTAGTGGATCATAAAGGCGCGGCTACCCATGTACTGGATTCCATGCAGAACATACCATCCGGAGCCGGACCTCGAAGGAAATGGATCAGTGGCGTCGGCAGTGTGACAATTGAGAATGAAGGGAACACCGCCGATCTTTCTTCCACTGAGAAGAGCGAGAGTGTCATCGTCACGAAGGATCGACAACTTCGGAGGCGAATAAAGGTGCAACTCAGCAGGGGTCAAAAATTGAGCAAGACGCTAGTCAAAGAGCTGGGCCTAGGGATTCTTTTCAGCCCGAAAATCTGGTAAGTCTCACCATGCCTCAACACTCGGCATGGGCTGAACGCCCTGTCGCAGGGAATACACCAAGATGGAGGGGAAGCAGCTCGATAAGTTGATCGGGAACATTCAGTCAGATCCACGACGGATGCAACTGCTCGGAATCCTCGGCGCACAGCTCGAGCGGTTGGTCGGCGAAGGACAACCTGATCTCCACGCCTTGTACGATGGACTGCGCCAAGAGATGCTCGTATCGCAGAAGGAGCTCGAGCACCTGCGCGTAACCTTTGCTTTAGATTCGGTGAGTAATCGAAATCCCTCAAGAACCCCATCAATTAAAACCACCTTTTTCCGCGCAGGATCCGATGCCAAAAGGTACCTTAGATATAGCAGTCCGCAGGTTGATCGGAGACGTCAGCACCAAGGTCCTAGGAAAGCATAAGCTCACAGACGTCGACGCTGTGGCGGTGAACAACATATCGGTGACCTGTGACACATTCGACAGACTTCGGTACGGAGAATGGTTGAATGACGACATGATCAACCTCGCTATGAATATATCAGATAAGCCCGACTTCGTAAAGCACGGCTACAGTGTCCCGCTGGACAAAGTCGGGAAGACCAGAACGGTAGTACCTATCATTCGACCACTCGCGGCTTGGGCTCGGCGAATCAACCGCCTTCGTGAAGGAGAGAGAAATAGGTTTCAAGGTACGACTCCGTTGGTATACTTCTGCCCATTAAACCATTGTGGTGCACACTTCACGCTACTTGAGATCAACGATCAGGAGAGGGTAATCCGTCACTATGACTCAAGGGCGGATCAAGCCACGATCAATGGTAGTGGAAAGCAGACGAGGGTCGCTCGGCTGGTAGAGGTGAGATCTTCCTTGATGTTGAGAACGACAGTCGTCCTGACACGAATGTAGGAAGAGTTTGCAGACTTGAAATATGCGTACATTGAAGCGGTGAGTGTTGCTCTCCCGGGGTACTTTCTTTGTCGCCGGATTGACGTTCATATGGCGAATAGCCTACACCACAGCAGGCCGAAACCTGGAGCTGTGGTATCAGGGTTGTCTGGAATTTCAAGTTATTGTCGAATGGTCTCTCCATCGGAGGATGGGATATTGTGCTGGATCCCGAGCGCATGAAGATGGAGCTTGTGGAAGGCTTTCACGCTTCTGTACAGGCGGACGCTATGAGCAAATACACGAACGAGTGCGCCGAACCTTCGAGCGATTCGGAGCAGAGTTGCGCCAAGAAGTCAAAGAAGCGCCGCAGGATGAATTCGTCGGCAGTGGCTCAACGGCCAACTCGAAAGGCCGCCACCAAGTGACTTATGGTATAGTAGTTGAGATCAGAGATATGTCACGTTCACGGCCACCGAGGTTGACATTTCATAGTTGAAGTTGGATTAAAAGAATGATACGAAAAATGTTCGCTAAACTTAAAACAGTTTAAGCTAATCATCACATGATGCCTCCCTCGTGTATCTAGTTGCAGCGGCCATGAGTGCCTGTTGAGAGCTAGGGGCGGGTTAGCCCATAAATGAATGTAGTAGACTTGGCGATAATCGCACCGGCATCGCCAATTGCAAAGTATCCGAGATTTTTGTGTGGTGGGCTTCCATACCACACTGCAAATCAATTCGATATAGTGCTAAGAAATAAAGTCTCAACGCCAGCACTAATATAACTCTACTGCGGAACGTGCTTTGCGAGCGATTTGTCGTGTGGCGTTTTCACCTTCTCGATAAGCCAAAATTTGTATATTATGGTCAGCATAAATGTGGCCCCAAAGTATAATGTAATGATGATAATGGTAATTTTTGCCGTTACCGACCAGTGCCCATGCCGAGCGGTGTAAACATTGATAAGGGTTGTGGTTAAGCCAGCCGCTGAAGGAAAAAGTCCTGGTCTGTCGGATAATGTCAGTTTTATCTCCGCACATGCCACTTTTGACACTTACGAAAATATTCTCTCCACCAGCCAGACATAATTCTTGCACCACTTCCACCACAGCCAGCAGGAGCCGACAATTCCTACGAGACAGGAAACAACAGCAAAGGGTAGGAGTGATGTATTCTGCACCGCGTGCTGCACTGCCTTGTCGTTTGTGCTCTCTCTAATTCTCTCAGAATTTTCCAAAGAGGTGAACGTACCAGGGAAAAAAATGAAGCCAGCGAGGATCATCCAGGAGAAACCTGCGGCAAGCATATTGTCCCGCACCGGCGCTTCTCTGGCTTGAAGCGACATTACCATATATGGCGTTTGCATGGTTAGTGCCTTGTAAGTTCTGCCAACCTCAATCTGGGATGGACCGGCTGAAGCAACGTTAAATCTGCTACCCATGACGGATGTTAGAAAGCCAAAAATTCAAACGAGATGTTTTTAACGTATACTATAAAGCTTTCTAGGGCCCGGGGGGCCCATTTTGCGCCCTTTGCCGCGAAATAATGCGCTAGGTAATTAAAGGTTGGGTCGAGAAAAGAAACTCCCAGTTTTGGGCCCGAGCTCCCAAGTCACAAGAGATTCTCATTGAGGCAACCTATCCAAGTAGTAGTACAGAAGCAATGGTGGAACCTTCCACCAGAAGTAAGGCTTATAATTTGTCGTTTTGTTCTGGTTCATGACAATCCTATACCTCTTTCCAAACGCTTGGTCTTGGACTGCTCTTCACTACGGACGCGCCGTATCTTTCGACAGGAAGGGATCCCATTAATCTTCGAAAGGAATTGCTTCATCGTACAAACTACCACTTCTCGGGCGATAATCCGCTTCTCCAAGAGATTTAAAGGATATAAAGATCTGATTCAATACATGACCGTTGATTTTCGGTTTGAAAGTCAGAGCCATGTCGACCTCATCTGGAATCTCATGAGGGCTCAGAGAGAGTAACTTATGCTCTCTTTTCAATTGACAATTCCATCTAGCTACCTCCAAGATCAAACCCAGACAGGAAAATAAGTCTTGGTGCCGTGCTATAATGGATGTCCCCAAACCTGCCCTCGAGCAAGCTCGAATAAACACTGTCGAAATACCCCTCTCTTTCTCGGTCCCAGTTTTGACTTCATAGGAGGTCCCGAAAAATGGTCCCTACTACGTCCTCCATTGTTGTAGCTTCTTTTTATTTTGAGCCCGAAAGCCTCCATCTCAAGGTAATTATCCTAAAGCTCTATCGAACATGCTCTGACGCTACTTAAGTTACACTCTTAGTCCAAGATGAGAATTTCTTCGGTGATCGCAGTTAGCTTCACGATTACGGCATTCGTCATTTCGTTACTTTGTCTCTTTGCAGGCTCAAGCAAGTCATTTCTTCCGAATGCCGCTTTAATGACAGTACGAGGAAAATAGACTTTTCTAAAGCTATCCATCTACTGATAGAATCTAGTTGAACATATCACGAATCGGCCACACCAGCCTATTTAATGTTTCCAATGGCGATGGGAGCATCTTAGGCGATCTCGCTAACGACATCCAAGGGGATATCAATAACCTCTTTAGCGATGTAGGTTCTGATATTGCTAACGCGCTAGATTTACCTGATTTCTTCCTGATCTTTCTCACTGGATATTGCAAAGGTATGTATAGGCCTAATGCAACGGTATTAGACCCGACGAGGGAGATTCTGGGCTGCTCCAACCACACAGCACTATTTCACTTTAAACCGACTACGATCATTGATTCCTATCTTCCAAACGGTACTACGTTAGAAGATCTTCATTGGCCAACTGGGATCGAGGATACAGAGCGTGCTCTCAACATAGCTGGCATGGCAATGAGCATGTTTTATATCATCGGTATCATATCTGAAAGTGCAGCAATTTTCGCTTCCTTCTGGACAATATGTTTTCCTGGGCGTTTTACTGGATGTTTTACTCTAGGGATTCTTTCGGTAGGCTTCAATCCCGTTGTTTTCTCTTCTCCGTTCTAACATCACTTTCCGCTAGCTTGCATTTTTGGCAACCAGTGTTGGATCCGTTATTTCAACTGTGATCATCACGAAAGCCGTCGACATTGTTAATAAATATGGGGACAATATCGGTATTGGAGCGGATAAAGGAACCATGTTCTTAGGCATGACATGGGCGGCAGTGGCTGCCGTACTCCTTGCAACTATATTGTCGATTATCTAGACCTACTGACGCTACACACTGCAAAGCAAAGGATTTGATATTACCTAGAAATCAAAAAGATCTGAGCGAGAGGGAAATTAATTAATATCAACGGAGCCGCGAATACAGTCTAATAGATGGATTTCATAGTGACCTAACTTCAAATATTGTAGAGTGTATTTGCAAGCATTGAACGAACATGGAATCATGACGTGACAATAAGCTAACCCTCTCAGCGAAGAACCTGTGACTACACCCTCTACTGGGTTCCCCTTTACCGGAACCTTCTCTAGTTTGCTGAGTTCCCCAAAAGTGGTTCCTCCACTTGAGATATTTCGATCTTAGTTGCTGCTCGGCAGCGTGTTATCATCCCTCCTGTAGAAAACTGAACACTTTATCCACTTCACCCGGTAATGAAATCATATCACAATAATCAAAATGCTGGAGACTCTTGTCTTCCAAGAGTATGCAGATGAGATCTTCGAATACCTTATGCGCAAAGAAACCAAGATGCTTCCAGACCCAAACTATTTAGATAAACAGCGTGGCCTTGACTGGGGGATGCGAACGCAACTAGTGGCGTGGTTGGTCACGGTTCGAAACCACCTCGGCCTCCCTCATGAGGTCTTATATCTGACCGTCAATATTATCGACCGCTCCATGTCCTTGATGGAAGTAACTCCTGACCGACTAATGCTTCTTGCAGCTGCATCACTGATCATATCGCTTAAGTATGAACAACAATACCCTGACTATTCAATGCAGGATATTATCGAAATTTTCGACCTTGAACCAGAAAAAGTGCGTCAAGCGGAGCGTATTATCCTTCAACGGTTAGACTACGACCTTGGTTGGCCAGGGCCAAGTAGCTTCCTACAGAGGATCAACAAAATCAACAATGGAGAGACACAATTAACCGTCTTAGCCCACTACGTCCTGGAGGTAATGTTAAGAGATGAACGATTCGTGAGTAGCTTACCTAGTTTTACAGCTGCAGTTGCATACTGCTTCGCAAGTGAGATATTAGGGCAATCGATATGGGTAAGTCCTCACAAGCTCTGCGGCTTTAAGACTTCGATTCTAATAGGACGCTAGACACCGCAACAAGTTGACCTATTGGGCTATTCTAGAGCGGAACTGGAACCTTTCATCCAAATAATACGAGAGTTATGCCAGAACCCTAAGAAGCATCACCCGGAAACCTTTGAGAGGTTCAATCAAAGATATACAGAGCTGTTCGAGAAAGTCGAAAAGAGATTTCAGCTTATAAGGCATCAAGGATGAGACAGATTCGTTCCGACTCAGACTCTCTCTCGATCTCCGTCGCAAAAATACTAGCTTACTTCACTACTTTCTCTCCGTCAAAGATGAGAACTCTCCTTCCGATGTAGCATTTAGCTTCACCATAATGGCGTTGACCTCTCGGCGCTTTATCTCTTTGCAGGCTCAAATAAGTCTTTCCTCCAGAATGCAGATTTAATGACAGTACGAGGGCAGTTCTCCTGCTATATTAACCGCCTGCTAATACACATCCCGCTGGACTTCTCACGAATTAGCCAAACCAGTGTCTTCTTGTCAGGGCTGCGCTTGTATAGCTTGGCGAACCAAGCTTCCTCAGTCAAAGGTCCTTTAGCTGGGTCCAGTAGACGCAAGGTATGAGTAGTCCAGTAACTGAAGAACAGTATAGTCAAGCAGATGTCATGAGTTGGCTACGAGAGAGTGTAACTATGGAAGGGTAATGAGCGTAGCTATATACTTGTGAGGTCCACCCCGAACAGGCAACCAGGAATGGTATGTTGATATATTGATATGTTGATATGGCGATATGGCAGATACCAACATATCAACATATCGCGTCCTGCCTTTCCTGTAAGTCACGTGCTACACGTGACCTAGCCTCGTGTCGCTCCTTGCTTCCTGTCAGGCTGCCCGGTCCCGGCAGACCTTCCCCTGGGCATCCCGCCCTGGGTCCCTGTGCCGTCTCTAACAACTCGCTCCTTGAGGTGCCCTATTCTGGGTACCCACTTGAAATATAAGGGATGATGCTATAGAGTTGTACTGCTCTCTCGCCCTTAGACAATGTGACTCCAGAACTTCATCATGCGTGCTTTTAGCTTCGTACAACGCCTATCACGGGCTACAAACTCTCATAAGCCGAGGTCGCTTCTCCGAACTCGGGTGAAAGCCTCCCTTGGTCGTTTGTACGATAGGGTGTTCTGGCTACGCTCCCGTGCAGAATTAAATTCTTCCATCATTTACAATCGAGACCCTTCGCCATATCACTCTTGTGAGCGCGGAAGTTTCGGATTCGTGCCGGACATCCACGACGACGCCCGGTCAGATAGCGAAGCATCAACACTGCCCTACGATAACGCCGCTTATGAGACGAGGGTTTCAAGCGACACAGAGTCTCTGATGAAGCCGTTGCTGGGATGATTATTTTGAGGCGATAGCCAGTGGGATTTTTGCTAGTAGCATTCATACATAATTCGCTGCTACCAATGATCAGGTGCTTCTTTCAGTGTATTTACTGGTCTGATCTGTGCATAGCGCTTTCGACAAACGATTTATAACAAGGTCAGATGACCGGATCTCTACCGGGACCATGAAGGTATTGTCGAGCTTAGAACTAGATTTTATTAATTAACCAGACAAATGAAATAAACAAACGCGGCATAGAACGAGCTATTGTATAACGGCGGCGGCGAGTATCTGTGGTGTTGCAACAAAGCTTACATTCCAGCACTGGGGAAAGGGGCCCAGTTTCCGGCCCTTGGGCAAAGGTCGAGATCCTCGTTTCCCGAAACTGGGCCCCTTCCCATTTTGAATGGATAAGACCTGAGCTTTGCCTGAATTCCTCACATACAGAAGAGATTCGTCTGCTTTCTACAAATTAGCGGGACACCCTCAAAATGGCTAAAGTCAGGCTCAGCAACCTCGAACGCCGGAGACTACGAGAGGAGTGCCGGGAGCTTCTTTCGAAGCACATTGGTAGGTAAAGGTGACCTTTCCTGTGGATCAGGACTAAGATCATCTTAGAGAGCAAAATAGGCATCAAAGTACACCCGTCTCAGGTTCGTCTTATGCCTAAACCGTCTGATCCGTATAGATGGAAAATCATCCCTGAAAGGGAGGACGTTCTATCCGAGCTTTTCTCCAAGAATATAAGTGATCATTCTATACGAGCTTATCGAGACCTATGCGAAGGAGTGGACAAAACCTTTGAGGCTGTTTCGTCAGCCCCACCGAATACAAACGCCCTGGGTTCTGTTGTGTCGGTATGGAGACGCAATATCCCGGTCTGCTCAAGACTCCCTAACAAAGTATACAGTTACAAGACCCTAAAGCTAGCTTTAGCGCAAAAATCGAGCACCTCGAAAATGAAAGCGCTCGGTTTTTCCACGAGCTATGCCAGTGGAGAGATAAGGCGACAGCTGAGTCAAAAGGCAGACAACTTGCAGAAGAAGAAGCCAACCGACTGCACGAGACTAATCAGCAGCTTCAAGGTCGAATTCGGGAGTACTCAGATAGGGCAAATTACTTGACGGGCCAAGCCATGAAATGCTTCGAGGGACTAGACAAAGTACTCCTAGTGCTCGAGGAGCTAAGATCAGGGCTAACTTTAGGTGTTTCTTTCGGCTCAACGACATCTCGGCGTGGTGAAATGCCCTGCGTGCTGAAATAAGGACCAGGTCCTGCGAGCTGTTCTGTTTATTCACGGCCGCGAATAACTCATGGCATTCGATTCATAATCGAACTGTAACGTGGTTCTCAAGTAGTTCCCTTGCATAGTTGACAGGTCATATAAGTCACGTCTAAGCGCACCCGCAACCTAGTAGAAGCATTGATCACGAAACTTTGGTTGGAGCAGTCATTCCGCCATCGAGAATTGACGTATATTGTAGCGCATTCTTCTAGGAAGGGAAATCTTGCTGTGAAAAGGCTCGGTACGGTAACCAATTTGTGTTTGCCTGGGAAGTGGTTGAATTGTTTCTGCTTAACTCTTCCATCTTGTATGAAGCTTTAGATAGATTCTAAATAGAGATTAGTTTTCTGCTCAAGGGAGGATAGATAGAATGAAAAAGACATCACTATCTTAATTATAGTACTTTAGGCGAAATCGTGATAGAAATTTAAGATCTGAATGTTGTGGTGGATGTAGCAGCTCAGGCATCGGCGATGACTACATGCTTTTTTGATAAAGGTAAGTAAGAAGCCTTTCGGACGACAACGTGTCAGGATGATCTGCCCCGAGCTTACTCTTCCGCAGTGCCACTACCTCCTCCGTCAACGACAGTGCCTCGACTCGTCGTCCGGCCTCGCTATACCGATTCGCCAGATTGTGTATCGACCTCAACGTGTCGGGATGATCCGCCCCAAGCTTACTCTTGTATAGTACCACCACCTCCTCCGTCAACGATAGTGCCTCGACTCGTCGTCCGGCCTCGCTGTACCGATTCGCTAGATTGCCCATCGACGTCAACGTATCAGGATGATCCGCCCCGAGAACGCTCTTCCGCAGTGCCACCACCTCCTCCATGAGGGGTAGAGCATCTTTCATCCATCCATTCTCTGACAGAATAAGACCCAGCACGGGCCAGTCCTCCATCTTTTCCTCCTCACTCAACGCGTCCTCCGCATCCGGCACCCGAAGGAGCTCCTGCACGTGCGACACCAACGACCGTCGAAACGTGTAGTCATCGCTGGCAAATTCCCACTTTACGGACCGAGCTAATAGCGATAGGGCCATTCGGTAGTTGACCTGTCGCTTCTCGTCCGACTGGCGATCCCGACACCACTCGTGAACGAGAAGATGGAGGGATATAGACGCGTCTGCGTTCCGCGTGATCAACGAAAACGATGCCAGTAAGGTCACGG